CTAGTGCCAAAGCATGCAGCTTCGCCCCTGATTGTGAGTCCACAGATATAGAAGCAAGTGCACACTCACATGGAAAGGGCAATGGCTCCTGCCCTTTCTGACACATGGCAACATGAACGAAATGAGGAGACAAAGCTACTGTTCAAAATCAAGTAGAATTGTGAGCATGTACTATTGGATTGCTGTGATATATTTGACATTATTGACTGAAGTCAATTGAATGTTAAACGGTGTCGATCGACCACTTTGTCTTAGAAACCATAAGTTTTAATGCAGTTGGCCTCCAATCAACCATTTGGCTGCTTGCTTGCTTATTTATTGATTGATTACATCTATAGACCCACTTTTCCTCCAAAGAGCTCAGAGTGGTGCACATGGTTCCCTGGTCTCCATGTTATCCTTACAACAACCCTGTGAGGTAGATCACTCGAGTCTATGGTGGCCCAGGATTATTCAGTGAGGTTCATGGGTGGGTTGGAATTGACCTTGGTCTTCCAGTTCCTGGCCCAACACTCTCCTATACCATACTGGCCTTTGTGGATGACACAAAGTAAACTAAGATGGTAAAAATGGAAGGTTTCTGCCAGGAGCTCCAAAAGGAACTCTCCAAACCAGGTGAATGGGCAACAAAATGCCAAAGGTAGTTCAAGGTAAGTAAAGTGTTGTTCATAGGGGGGCAAAAAACCCGAATCCCACCTTTACAGTATAAATTGACTGGGTCTTAACTGGCAGTTACTGATCAGGAAAATTATATTGGAGTCATGGTTGATAGCTTAGTGAAAAATCTGGTTTAGGCTAAAACAGCTAGGAGTTACTAGGAAAGGGATAAAAAAATAAAATTGCCAGTATTGTAATGCTCTATATACAAATGTGGAGTCAAATTTGAGATACTGTGCAAATTTGGGTCATCATGTCTCCAGAAGAACAGCTAGAAAAAGTGTAGGAAAGGGCAATAGAAAATATTGGGGCTGAGGGGGGAGCACTTTCCCTACAAGGAAAGGCTACAACGATTGGGGCTTTCTTGTTTAGGAAAAAAAAAGACGAATAAGGGGCAACATTACTGAGATTGTTCACTTTCTTCATTCTATGTATAATTTTAGCAAATATACCCCCCTTTCTCTCAAAGTACTAGAACCAGGGGTCATCTGATGAAACTGAGTGGCAGGAGAGTTAAGGTTGAAGGCACTTCTTCATACAGTGTACAAATAATGTATGGTTTGGCTTCCTGGGTCATGCAAACCAGGGCATAGGGGATCATACTACAAAAAATAGGAGCAATAAGACACACTGGTGACTTATTGAACATGCACAGTTTTGCCTTGGGGCAGGACATTACCTATGCTGTCAGTTTTTCTTCAGTGACCACTATTGGCCTCTCTTCTGTAAAGGAAATGGACAGTACAAAGGCTATCCCAACACTCACATTGCTCAGGGAACGAAGAGCACAATAGCACGTTCCTGTTTGCAACCCTCACTTCAGTTTTTTATTGGCGCTTTTCCTATTTTTGACCACACTGTGGCTAAACCATCGTCCTTGCATTGTGTGGTTAGACTGCAGAATGTAGCTGTAACTTCCTAAAAAACATCTTGCTATCAGCATGTATATTGCCATTCTTCTCTTAGCCTTTGAAAAGAAAGTTTGTCTCTTCTTTATTTTGTTTTTAAGGAGTAGCTTGAAGAACAACATAAAACATGTTGAGATTATTGTACTGCATTTCTTAGGTAGGAGTATTGTATCTCATTCCATATTTTCCTTAAACATTTTTGGTTTAAGATTATTAAAATACTAATTCTGCACCTGGGTGGTTGCCCACAATTTCGTCTTTTTTCTTGATTGGGATGCAGCCCTCTTTTCTTTTTTCTTACCTTGTATCAGCAGGTGAAGCAAATGTGTTTTCCTTTTTTCTAAGGGAAAATCCTAGGTTTCACTTACATGGTCCTGTTTCAGACCTCATATCACGCGCTCAAATTAATGCTAGTCAGAGGCACAAAACTCTAATTTTAGTCCATTCATCATTCTCCTAATTAAGAGCCAGCTAATGAGTTGCCAGCTCAAATGCTTTACTTTCATTTCATGGTGCTTTCCTCTCCTTAAAGCTGCATAGGCTGAGACAGGCTTACGCCTGCTTCCTATGGAGCAATAATACGTCTCTTACTGTTTCCCCAACCATTCTCTGTATGGAACCTTTACTTGATGATTAGCTTCAGATTGATGGCTTTTCTCCAGTGCAGCATAACTGTCTTATTTCTAGCTACTACGTGGCATAATTCCTCTCCACCCACTTCGTTAGAAATCACTGGCTCTGCCATTGAAACAACAGTTTTGCTTGCTCACAGGATGGTAAATTGTAGCCAGTGGCTTGCACCGCTGTGAATAAGAGATAAGGTGGATGGAGCACACAATAATTCCTAGCCTTGTGTGTTATGTGTGTGTGACACTGTCCTTCAATAGCCATCTCAGAGCTTAGTATACAGAAGAGTCAACATGATTGTTGAACAATAGAGTGGTACCTCGGGTTAAGTACTTCATTCGTTCCGGAGGTCTGTTCTTAACCTGAAACTGTTCTTAACATGAAGCAGCACTTTAGCTAATGGGGCCTCCTGCTGCCGCCGCACTGCCAGAGCACAATTTCTGTTCTCATCCTGAAGCAAAGTTCTTAACCTGAAGCACTATTTCTGGGTTAGCAGAGTCTATAACCTGAAACGTATGTAACCTGAGGTACCACTGTAGTACAGTTGAACCTGATAGGTGATGTCTTTGTGGCTCAGAAGAAAATGAAATACATCTTGTTGCTTTGTAACTTTTATAGAGATCTCCAGAGCTGATTGCCCCAACAATAGCCATTTTGGATCCCAGGAAATGGCTTGCATATTACACTTCTCATTTCTTCTCTGTTACAAACAGAAACCGTAGCTAAAATTATGTTGAGTGCAAGTAGGACACTGGCTGAAATCTTTTCCCAAGCCGATGTAACCAGGGTCCCTACCTGTCAATAGAGCCATTTGATATTGTATCTCATTTTTGTATGTTAACAGATGTCTGAGTCCTAGTGCGAAGTCTGCTGACTGGTTCAATAAATTGATTGAGCCGTACAACTGAAGCTATCCGTTAAGGGTGTCCTTTTGTTTTCAGGCAGCTTTTAAGTTCTTGCGAGGTTTTACTATTGATTTTGTTGGGGCTGTATTTCTGTATTGCTTTCCTCTTTGTTCTTTTATTGTGAGTAGCATTGTTCTTCTTGGAATTTTGAATTTTTGCTTTTTGATTGTGAGGCATCCTATTGGCACTGAAGGTATGGGATATTTAAAAAAAAAAGAAATAAATAAATATGTAAAGCCAGCTGCCCTGTTCAAAATGTGGCTCTTAAAGCAACTCTTATCTGCTTTCCTGCCCTGGCAGAAGCACACCTGATTTCTTTTTTAAAATCAAGGTTGTTGTTTTTTTTAAGTGAATGGATTGCCCAACATTGCACCTGTAAGGAAAAGAAAACTGTTCCCAAATTCACATGTGGGAGAGAGACATTCTCAAATGCATGCCCTCTGTTACTTTGAAACCATGACTGCTAAATGCTGCTGACTTCATTAGAAAGCCTGGCCATCTGTGAAGAGGGTGGGTTGTGCATCCTAACACAGTGGCCCATGCAGCTTGTCTGGAGAGCAGCATTGCCCTGAGGTTTGCCTTCACAGATAGAGAGGGACAACTGGGAATAGGTAAATTCCTTCTCTTGCAAATAAGCCAGCCGAAATGACTGAGACAACACTTAAAGTCAACCTGCCTGTCCTCTTCAAAGGACAATAAGTTTGCCACGATTCTAGCTGCTGCTTTTTTTGGAAAACAGCAGCTATTCCCCATCCCTCTGACCCTGTCCTCCCCTCCTACATGTCCGCTTTCTAAGTTTTCCATCCATCCCAGCACCAGCTGTCTGTTCCATAGCAGAACATGCATAGACCCTTGCATGCACTCTGTGGTTTGGGGAACTAATCCAACTCTGGCATTAGAAAGGGGAATGGAGTAATATTACCCTAACCCCACGCCCCACACACATCCCAAAACCACACAGGAATTCCCCATACAAACCAAGCAGTTGTTATGCTGTAACAAAGTTGAGGTGATTGGGTAAGTGGGGCGGTAGTCCTTGCCCCCAGTCCAGTGTGAATCAATAATATCTGTTGCTAAAGAGCATTCAGCCCAAACGTGACTTGCTTGGTAAGGGGAGAGGTTCCACTGTGTCAGGATCCTATTCCCCCTTCTAGGTGATCCACACAGTCCAAGACGGCTTGCCCTATACTCCGAGAACAACTGCTGTAGAATACAATGGATAGCATGCAAGAGTTGGAGAGAAGGACCTACCTGTTTCCTACCTTTGATAAAGAGACAAGCTTGCAAACCTCTGGCCTGGAAGGGAGCTTCTGAACCCTTGAAAGCAAAACACCATGGAGAAGATTTGTCATTTCTACAGAAGCAGTATGGTGGCAAAAGCTACACTTGCTAGCCTTCATCCTGCCATTCAGCCACTTAAGATATTGGCGGTTTTCTTGCAATCTTGTTGTTGTTGGCATCCGTCTGTCTCAGTAGACAATGAAGGAAGTGCGCCTTTGAGGGTGAAGTCAAACCGCTGGAGGGTTACAGCGTCTGCTGTGGCTTGGAAATCATAGCCTTGTTCGGGAAAAATGAGTCTGCTCTCTGTTTTTGATCAGAAGCCTATTGGAAAACAGTAAATGAAGGAACCCTGTTGGGAGGGTATCCTTGCATTCAGATCTGTAGAGTACATTCAGGCTGCATGGGCCAAATTGCCTTGAATTTTTCTTCTTGCCAGCACTCATTCTCACTCATGGCCTTTTTATCTCCAGGACGTTTCTGCCCTGCAGAACTTCGATATAATTATTCCCTGACACTCGCCAAGTAAATCACAGCACCAGTGCTGTTGAAATATGGGTTTCTTTTCAGCAGCCCAGTATGTTCTCTTTGGAGATTAATTATTCCCTTTTCTTCTCTCTTCCAGACATTTACAGCCTGGTGTAACTCTCACCTCCGCAAGGCTGGCACGCAGATTGAGAACATAGAAGAAGATTTCAGGGATGGCCTTAAACTTATGTTACTCCTGGAAGTCATATCAGGTAAGACAGCCATTGTGCAAAGGTTAAATGCTTTGGGGGAAAACTCCAATCTAGTGAATCTGCTAAAGTACAGGGGCTAATAGTTCAAGCTTGCACAAAGGTAAGGAAGAAAAAGCAAGTGTGGCCATCTTGTGTACTATCATCATGGACTTAGGACATGGTTTGAAATTTCAGCTGGAAGGGGGAAATAACCTCAAAGATAAAAAAGATGGGGATCCAGTGGCATGCAGTGCCATTAATTAGCAAAGTAACTTTCATTTCCCCACATTGCACCACCGTAGCATTTCCCATAAGGAACCCATTCTCCAACTTTGTTATATAGTCCTATAGGGCTTCCCAGGTGTGCTTGTTTCTGTCCTTGTTTATATCCTTGGGGAAATAATAATAATAATAATAATAATAAATTTTATTTATATCCCGCCCTCCCCAGCCGAAGCCGGGCTCAGGGCGGCTAACAACAGTCAAACTGAAATGCAGAATGTTCCTCCTTCCCATGCCTGATACAAATGGGTCAGGGTTCGAAAGGCTGCAGAATGCTGAAGCGAGGTACTGAGATGGGAATCCATGAGCCGTGGCTTCTTTTGATGCTTGCCAGAAACCAGCTGAGTCGAGTCCCTCGCATTATTTATTTTTGTCTTGTTTATCTTGTTAGTGAAATGCTCACTCATGCATAGGGAAGGCGGTGAAAGCTGAGAGGAAGCAGTGCAGAGAGCATGATAGGAGGGACACAAATGACTGAAGGGAGAATGTCTGGGTGCTTTTCTGTTCAGAAGCGGCATGTGCCTGCCCAGAACACATCTCTTGTCTCCTGACATTCATTTCTCTTTCTGTGCTTTTTTATTTTTTGAACATGCAATCTTTTTGAACCCAGCCAACATACTTTAGGAAAGTCCCTTGCTGCATGCCTGGCACTGTGGCATATTCAGTCTTGTAGCTGGGACCAGGCATTCTTGATCTCTTCAAGGCCACAATGACTCCTCTTTTCCTGTAGGAAAAAACCCCAGCTTGGAAACCCCTTTTTTCCATTTAGCAAAAGAGGATCACACATAGACCCTTGTCAAGTGTCGGTGATCCCCTTTGAAAGTGTAGGACAAGCGCCCACTTTGTTGTGGCATCGTGTGGTAAAAAATGCCATGGCCACAGAAGAAGTCAATAGGGTCTTGTCAGAAGAAAATGGGGCTGTTGTTCTGTCTCTCTCAGCTTCAGTTTTCATTGCTCTTGGCTGCAGTTCAAAGTAAACACTAAGTATAAAGGCTGGGCAAGCAGTAATTTAAAACGAAAGGGTAACTAACAGCAGGAAAGCAAGGATGGTGGTGCCCTGAATCCTTTGCTGTGCAGGTGGGTTCATACCCTTCTACGAGATTTTTTACTGATGGCCATTTGTCCTGGGACATATTTAAAAGTGGTCTTGGTGAAAATATGCGCATACACTTCATACAAAAAATGACGTGGAGCCAAGCCTCCATATACGAGTGTTAATCTTGCATTTAGTTAGAAGTGTGCTCTGCATGAAGGCAACTGAGCGCAATATTTAAAGCACTTGGTTTTCATTTGGCTGGGTTCCTATAACTGTCCAACATGAGAGAATTGCTCTTTAATTTTACAGTGGTGCCTCGCAAGACGAAATTAATTTGTTCCGTGAGTTTTGTCGTCTTGCGATTTTTTTTCGTCTTGCGAAGCACGGTGTCGGGAAAGTTTTGGAAAAGCTTCAAAAATCACCAAAGTCTTTAAAAACCTCAAAAAAGGCTACCACACCACGTTCTATGAGTTGCTCCTCGAAGTCAAGTCGCAACTGTATTAACGGTGTTAAGAAAAAGGAAACAAACTTGCAAGACGTTTCCGTCTTGCGAAGCAAGCCCATAGGGAAAATCGTCTTGCGAAGCAGCTCAAAAAACAAAAAACCCTTTCGTCTAGCGAGTTTTTTGTCTTGTGAGGCATTCGTCTTGCGAGGTACCACTGTACTGGAAAATAAAACATTGCCACTTCTGAGGCATATTTAGGATTATTAGAGCTGTGATAGCTAACCTGTGGTCTTCCAGATATTGGCATAGCCAATGAAGGGATTCACAGTCCAGCAAAATACAGAGGACGACAGATTAGCCACCTTGCATTGGGGAAAAACATGTGATATTGTCCTCCTGGAACTATACCACTTGAGGGTACATGTGTGCTGACTGCATATTTAAACCTTTCTTTGCTGAAAAGCTCCCTTCTACTATGAATGAAGATTTTAGCTTAGCGTTCTCTCAGTTTCTTATGAGCTGGGTGTTCATGTGGAGAAGCATTCAGACATGTGATTCCTTTGATTGCTTTCTGAAATGATATGGTCTTTGTGAGTGCATAACATCTCAACTGTGAACACAGCTCTGTAGATTGCAGTTGTGGTATTGCAATAAAAGACAAATGGAAAGTTTCCCAAGGTAGACTGTGTTCTTTCGGTTGTATATCAGTTGTTTACTGAAGTGGAATGAAGAAGTTCATTGAAAAAGTGGAACATAACTCTTTTCTCTTTCTGACTAGGTGAACGTTTGGCTAAGCCAGAAAGAGGCAAAATGCGAGTGCACAAAATCTCGAATGTCAACAAAGCCCTGGATTTCATTGCTAGCAAAGGAGTCAAGTTGGTATCCATTGGAGCAGAAGGTAAGTCAGAACCCAACCAGTGGGAGCATATAAGTGGGTCACAAGGCTACTAAAATGATTACAGGAACTGGCCAACTTTTCTACTACAAGGTGACGGTTGTACTACTGTGGTGGTGATTGTTATGGAATCCCCTAAGTTCAACATATGTGTTTAGCAAGCAAAGACTCTTGAGTCCTGTGTGGGACTGCAGATAACCATATTACACGTTGAGCACAATTGCAAGTCTGGTTTCTACCAGGCTCCCCAACAAGTAATGTCTACCAAAGTCCAGAAAGTGTGTGGAATAAAACTGCACTGGATATTTGATGCAGTGCACTACAGGTAGATCATCTATTTTGAATCCCTTTGTGATTTATGTTGGCTAGAAACTTGCAGAACACAGGGTGAGATTGCCTGGAAATTATCCCTGTAAAGCTTCAGAAAGAGTTGTGTTCTCCATGCTCCTTCTGACATTTTCATACACTTCCTGGATAATTATTCTGCCTGATTATACTTGAGGTTGTGGGCTAGGAAGCCAGATAGGGGGACGTGCTTCTGTCCAATTCTAAAGAGAATTTTTTTATATTATGCCATAATCCACTAATTCACAATCATGGTGAATGACATCTACATTTTGCATCTGGATGTTGGCTTACAGATCATGCAGCTTTTCAAAACTAAAACTCCAGTGAAATCATTAATGATATATGTTATTACAAACTTATTTGCTTATGTAGCCTGAAGTGGCATGGCTCTCATCTCTATGGAATGCTCTAGGGTCTAGGAATGGGGGAATATAAGGAGGGTGTGTTAAGAGGGTGTGTTAAGGTTAAGGGTTACTTTAAGGTTAAAATATGTTGCCATCCGTCTGTCTCTGGAGACAATGGAGGAGTGCACCTTTGGGGGTGAGGTCAAGCTGTTAGATGGTTGCAGTAGCTGCTGTGACTGTAGAGACCGATGCAGGAGAGACATGTTTTGTTGTAGTTGGGGCAGATAAAGACATCTGGTTGTGCTGCTCCAGATGCAACATGGTGTTTCTTCTCTCTGAGTATGAGGAGTTCATACGTTCGTCCTTAACTTCAGCATGAGGTATGCATGCCTGGAGTGTGGCTTCCACCCTACTGTAGGCATTTTGTTTTGCACGAAGATGTTATCATAGCAGTTCAGTGGGCATCTGGGGTTGACTGACAGCTTTCTGGTGCGAGGACTGCCCAATGAAAAGGCTTATAAAGTTTTCCAGACTATGAATTTTAAAAGGACTCAAATTAAGGCTTTAAATAGCTGTCACTGTTGTAAACTAGAAAGTAAAAATTAATGAGGCAGGCAGAATGTATTTAATGTGGCTCAGGCAGGAAATGCCACATCAGGCAGGTAGTACTTAATGAGAAAATCATCTTGAGTTAGTACCAAGTTCAGGGTTGTTGTTGTTTTAAATCACCCTTAGCCATAATTTTTTTGGTCCAAAGCTCTCCAGTGTCATTCAGCCTACTGAAAGGTTTCAGCACCAGGCTGCTGTAGATCATATAACCAGCAGCAGCATCACAAGTTTGAGAAAACAGGAATGCAGAATTGATCCAGTAATGGCAACATCAAAATGGCTTTCTGTGTGGTGAACAAGGAAATGGCTATTGAGAATTAGAAAGGAATATGAAAATAATTATTTACACAGCCAAGGCCCCTGTGCAAATTGGCTTAAAAGAAGCTCTTTGCTGGTGTAGTTCACAAACTATTTTCCACCAGCCAATGAGCTTTTCATCCTTCCTGGATCCTGATTAGCTGCACACCAAAAGCTCACATTTGATTGCAACATACAGTTAGAGTTAGATACTACTGGGATAATAGATAAGTATTTTTATTCTCCCATTCATGCATTTCCAACATATCAAATAGCTATCAGCTTTTCAGACTCCTGAGCCCTGCTTCCATGGTATAACACTGATCTGAAATCCAACTATGTCAGCAAGGAGAAAACTTAAGCTTTTAGCTTGTGATAATGAAACAGCAAATATGTAGGGCTGGCTGTTATTGGGCAGAAGACACATAATGCTTGCAGCATTAAAAACAGGCAGCTGTTTGTTTCTGTCTTCTTCCCACTCATAACTGGTGAAGTGCGGAAGTGACTGACAGGGCTATGGTCTGTTTTACCTCAATTCTATACATCAGCCAAACCTATTAAAATTGAAGCCATAACAAACACATGTTCCAGCTTACATAAGCTTATATATAATGTTTTTTAAGCTCTATCTCTCATGTTTCATTTAGTTCTCAGGCTAGAAGGATGCTCTTTATTTCAGCTGCAGTCCATGAACCGTTTAAAGCAGCCACTGGATAGTTAACATCCCAATGCAGTGGGATGTTGCAATGTGCAAGGCAAGGAGTGGGATAAGACTAGGTACAAAGGCCTTATGCTAATGCACACTTCAGTATCCTGTTGGTCCTCCAAATGCTTTTGGACTACAGCTCCTATTATAGCCCCACATCAGGGCTGTTGGGAGTTGTGGTTCAAAACATCTGGAAGGCATCAGGTTAGTGAAGGCTTTGCTCGTGTAGGATTGAGAGTCATCATGTTGCAACAGCAAACAGGGATTGCACAACAGTGCTGAGATGAGAAAGTCCTTGCACAGGTTTTGAGACGAATGAAGGGGGACATGGCAGAGACTGGACAGGCGAATGGTGGTGCTACCCATAAGAATGAGAAGAAGGAGCTTGTACTAGTTTACATGCTAGTGCAGCAGCCCTATAGGCTGGGTTCCTGGAAGTCCTTGTCCCATTGACACCAGTGGAATGAAGCTACCAGTTATTTTGTCTTAATGATCTTGTGGTTTTCGCTGCCTTAGGTTTTGGAAACCCAGCCAGATGGGCAGGGTATAAATTATTATTATTATTATTATTATTATTATTATTATTATTATTATTATTATTATTATTTATTTCTAGATGGGAGGTATATGCATTAATGTTTGCCTTCCTTTGGAATTGAAAGTGTGGTTAATACACAGCAGTTTAAATGTGCTAAGGATGTTGAATGAATATTGAACACATATTCAGTTGTGAGCAAAATTCTCCTTTCTTACCCACCATTTCGTCCTCCTGACACCTGTTTTCATAGAATCAACCTCCTTTCTCCACTTCCGCGTGGCTTGTGGTTGGGCTGCCTCTCAAAGTACATTCAAACAGCCAAGAAATCATATAGATCCTAACAGTGAATTTCCAGCTTGTCGTTTAAGACTAGAATAGAGGAAGGAGACTATTTTACACTCCAGAAGGTTAGGATTACTAGATTGTGAATGTGATGGCATTTCAGAACCCTGTTCTTTCCAGCCACCAGGTTTAATTCTGAAATATTCAATATTTATTGCTCCTCCAGCTGCTCGCCAAAGACATGAAATACTGTCTTTATTTGCATAGCCTGTTAGCAGAGAATAGTTGTAATAAAAGCAATGGGATGGAAACAAATTCACTTGAGCAAAGCATTTTTTTGTTTCCTGTGTGTCTGTTCTGTTCTGGTTCTTTAAACAACTCTCCCTCCTTCACTGAATGTGCATTTCACTAAGAATCTCTGCTTGCTAGTAATGCTGCAAAAAACAGCCTTGTGTTATTAGTGAAGAAGGGATTCTTCAAGTATATATGGATATTTGTTTCTGAGGCAAGACTAAAATATATTTTCCTGCAAATAGGGGTCTTGAACTTTCTGACAGAAGGGGAATACTTTTGTTTTAGACCCCACCCCTTCTAATATCACTTAAATTGGAAAGGGGTTGCACTCTAGCAAATGTTTGTTAGGAGAAACAAACTCCTTCCCCTTTCCCCCAACACAAAAGAGCCTCTTTTCTTAAGGGGTTGCAGTGTGGGTCTCGATATACTGCTCTCCCAACAATTTGCATGGTGGTGTGATTCTGATTGGCTGGCTTTGGCAACAGGTACATCAGAAGCATTTAGGGATCATCATCATGGGGAAAACCCCCGCTGCATTGGCACAGAATTGCTTGCTAAGTTTTATCATGCTGCTAATGTGGTTTATATCTGCTGCCACTGGTAATTTGAAGACCACAGGCAGTGTCTTGAGCTTATTCAAGGGGGCAGGAACTAGTGGGAATCCCTGAGTAGCAGATTGGGAAAGACAGTGCACACAACCTTCTTTGGCCTCCACTTCTCCCAATATCCTCAGAATGCTTTCCACAAGCAATAATGAGCTCATTAACAGTATCTGCTGAACTGCTTATTAAGTGCAGTTTTGTAGAGGGGCTTGGGATGGCATCAATTAGCAAGCAGAAAGTACAAATATATGATGCTAATCCACATTTCAAGAATAATGACCATAGAAGGTCTTTCTAGCAGTTAATGCTCTGAGAACAGGAAACAGTCATTAAGGCTGCCCCAAAGAGGGAGAAAATTCAAATGGACAAAGGAACCACATTGCAACAGAACTAGTAATATACAGTTGAGCCCTTTGATGTTTTCCTTCCCAACTTAATGATTGCAGATCTTGATCTCAATGAGGGTATTTGCTATTGTTTGTAACTCAGTGCAACAGCATTATCTATTTGCGGTTTAATTTGCATCACGTACCTGGCACTTGTTCTCTTGTGAATGTGAAGGCAATTTTTGAATGGCTGTTGCCCAGCTAAGGTAAAGGTAAAGGTACCCCTGCCCGTACGGGCCAGTCTTGACAGACTCTGGGGTTGTGCGCCCATCTCACTTAAGAGGCCAGGGGCCAGCGCTGTCCAGAGACACTTCCGGGTCACGTGGCCAGCGTGACAAAGCTGCATCTGGCGAGCCAGCGCAGCACACGGAAACACCGTTTACCTTCCCGCCAGTAAGCGGTCCCTATTTATCTACTTGCACCTGGGGGTGCTTTCAAACTGCTAGGTTGGCAGGCGCTGGGACCGAGCAACGGGAGTGCACCCCGCCGCGGGGATTCGAACCGCCGACCTTTCGATCGGCAAGCCCTAGGCGCTGAGGCTTTTACCCACAGCGCCACCCGCGTCCCTTCTGTTGCCCAGCTACACTTGCCCAAAATAATCATTGTGTTTGATTGTTATCCTCAACCAATAGTAATCTCAATTCTCCCAGTGCCAATCCAAATAGCAACCAAAATAGTCTCGCCTAAAAGCACAAGGAAGTTATAAGCAGACCCTGGGGAACCCTGAGGTTTTCAGAAGTTTATATGGAGTGGGTCGGCTGGATCTCTACAAATAGAAGAACTCCACATTGCAGCATTTTGTTGCAGGTTCCACCTGGATATACTGATAGCCATCTCAATGTGCCTAGCGCTGGTCCTCATGCAACTAAAGCAACAACAACCACACATAAGAGAGCATTATCAGCAGACTTGGGGAAATCCCAAGAACTAGAGAAGTACCCCACACACACACACACACACAAAATTCTGTTGGGGAAAAAACCTTTCAAGAGGCTGGGGGCAACTTCCCAAAACAATCTAAGGAGAAGTGAGCATGGATTTTTTTTATTTTGGTGTGTGAGGGGATAGAAACTTAATGGGAAGTGGGATTATAATGGTATCCCAGAAAAGGAGCAGTCCACTCTGCAACATTTTGTTTGCAAGCCCCACTTGTTTCCCTAATTCTGAAACACGCTCACTTGTGACTCTTGTCTACCAAAGTTCCAAAGATGTTTTGAGCACCGGTAGCAGCTGCTGAGAGGGTATTTTTCTCTTTTGCAGAAATTGTTGATGGGAATGCGAAAATGACCCTTGGAATGATCTGGACCATCATCCTCCGCTTCGCTATTCAGGATATCTCAGTGGAAGGTACATCCCAACGGGCCACCATCTCTCACAGAAGCACTTGTGGAATATGTTGTGTGTTATGTATTTCCAAAATAGATAGCATACGAAGCTCCTGTACAGATTGTCATAGCTGGCTATCGTCTACGGGAAGGGAAATATTGCCCCCAGAGCATGATCCAGGAAATAGCAGGTGGTACTACTGCTTGCTTGTTGGTGTTACTACGATGCCGACCATATTTACAGTGACAAAATCCAAGCCTCCGACACCTCCATTTTATTGAATTCAATTCACTGTAGACCATTTTCCTGATCTGGAAGGCCATATTGACTAGTGTCCTGAAGGCAGAAATGTGAGGTCATGAATTGAGCTCAAGGGGGTCCTGAGAACAGCTGAGATAATTATGTTGCTGTTCGTCTACAATGCAAAACCTCTCCTTTTCTTTTGCGTTGATACATCCCTCCCTCACACATAATGCAGAATTAGATGGGCAAAATTACGTACTTTGTGGAAGGAGCTATTTTGACTGATGAAACTACTAGGAAAAAACACCCTCTGGGCTAGATTTGAAAAGCAATAGTTCTAGCATAGGGATTTTAGGGAACTGTTTACCCTTTCCAAGTGTAATGTTTGTGCTAAATAACATGTTTTGCCAGCACATCCTTTGTGGACTTTCTGTGCAGCCTGCTTAGCTCACTTGGTTAGAGCATGGTGCTGAAGTCGCCAAGGTTGCAGGTTCGGTCCCTGTATGGGGCAGCTGCATATTCCTGCATTGCAGGGGATTGGACTAGACGATCCTCAGGGTCCCTTCCAACTCTACAGTTCTATGATTTGGAGCCTATGTAATCCTAAATATCATTGGGGTTTTTTAACTCTGTACAGCACTTGATCATTAACAACTGGAAGAAAAGGTCCCCCCAGACCTTTTGAGTTGCACAGCCTGCACTACAGTGTAAATCAGGCATACTCTGGCCCTCCAGGTGTTTGGGACTACAATTCCCATCATCCCTAGCTAACAGTGGTCAGGGATGATGGGAATTGTAGTCCCAAACATCTGGAGGGCCGGAGTTTGCCTATGCCTGGTGTAAATGGAAAGAGTTGCTCAAATCCTCCTCAGTGGCTTCTGACGTATTAATGGTCAGGATGAAGAGGCAGCTTTAAAACCCTAGTGAAAGAGCCTCACAGAGGTTGGCTAATACTTGTACCTTTTTGTTCCCTAGAGACATCTGCTAAAGAAGGGCTTTTGTTGTGGTGTCAGAGAAAGACAGCCCCATACAAAAATGTGAACATCCAAAACTTCCATATTAGGTAATGTAAAGGTGATGGGGAGCAGCCTGTGACTTGTAGTCTTTGCATGGCCTAGAGGATTTGAATCCTGCCTGGTCCTTACCTCAACTGTTTTAGCAGCAATGTTAAGACCATTTGCAGTGGACTTGCCATCACAGTCCATTAAAGGCTGTGTGTGTGTGTGTGTGTGTGTGTGTGGCAATTGTACTCTGAAAGCTGCCCTACCAGCTTAGGGGAAAGGGCTGAGGGCACGAAAGTCTTCTTCCCACACTATACTCGGCACACAATAATGCCTTTATTATCCTCATATCTTATGTAAATTAAAGTGCTTGTGCTGTTTACTTTTGTACTTCCAAGTTTGTGGATACATAGCCCAGTTCAAACATTACTGCATTCCTGGCTTCTTAAACCATAGTTTAACAAGCCAGGAATGAGTGTTGCCCCCCCCCATGAACCTCCCCTGCATATCACCTCATTCCTATAATTGATGCACCAAACATTGATGTCTGTAACAAGGAATGGTGCCTTAATGCTGATTTACTAACCAGGATTTTAGACCATGTTCAGATGAGGAACCCTCATTTAAGCTAACTGTAGTTTCAGCTAAACAATGGTTTAGCAAGCTGGGGATGCATTGTGGCTGTATAAATATGTAATGGCATGTAATCCTGTTCTTGTAGACATAATCTCCTTTGGCCTGTCATTAGCAGAGGATGATTTATTGAGCCAATCCAATAGTGATCAGTAAAAGAATATATATTATTTATTTTTATTATTCACTTGGCACTAGAAACCTCAGAACTTTTTTTTACATACTGCAAAGTTTTGGAGTTGGCATTGTGGAAAGGCTTCAACTGAAGCAGAGGTGAAACTTACTCGTGCTCTGATTCTTACTGAGTATAGGACAAAAAACAAACCCCATTCTTGAATGAGTATAGTTAATGGTGTCCTATCTCTCTCACAGCTGGAAGGATGGCCTTGGTTTCTGTGCCTTGATTCACAGACATCGTCCAGAACTCATTGACTATGGAAAACTAAGAAAGGTACCTGCTTATGTTTTGGGATGTTCCAAGTTCAGATGTCGTGGGAGGATGGAAACCTGTGCTGGCAACTTGGATAACTAACTTGCCCATAAGATGAGAGAAATGGATGAGAGGTCTCTGAAGAGCTCAGATGTTTTGGTTTACTTGATTTCTGTCTGTTAGTTCCTGGTGGAGATTTAGACTAGCAGCAGGTAAGGAAGTCTTTGGACTTTGGAAGCACAACTCAGGTAATTCCCAAAGTTAGACTGGCACATTCAGCCAAGACACATTAGAGACGAATATTTTCTTAGGCTGACTGAAGTTATCATCCAGGTGAAAATTGGGCTTGACATCCTTGGAGAAAGCATGTGGGTGACCAAGCCCAGAAATGTCTTTTGGGAAGCTGTAGTGGAAAGCATGGCTCCAATTCCATAGTGGAATGCATAGTTAGCGGAGTCATCTGTTACTTGTACAAAACTGCATGGTTGTCCACATTACTTCTTCTTTAAGCTACAATTGTAAGCCCCTTGGGTTTATGACTTTCAGAAATACTGTTGTAAGCTACTCTGAGCCGTGCAATAAGGTAGGGCATAGCTCAGATAAATACCCCTTTGCTTGCCCAGCTTAAATCATGATAGGCAGAGGTAACAGGAAAACTAAATGCTGCTGCTGGGCAGATCTGGGAATGTGGTTGCCCAAAGAGGCATCATATATTCCTTCCCACTGTCTTGCAGAAGCTGTTAAGTTGCTATAGTCCCATGGTAAGCCATGAATCTGATCTCCTTGTTCATTAAGGAAACTGGATAAAAGTGTAACATTTTTTCTCTAGTAACCCAAGAAGCATGTCATCTTGGTCAGTAAAAATAGCATCTTTTTTGTGACTGTGACACCTCCAGCCCTGATTATTTTAACAGTAACCAAAACCATATATTTTACTAGGTGAGGTTCCTTGCATCCCTGACAGACATAGCTAACAGTGGTTGCTCATTCCTCCTACCCTGCTTCAACAGTTTTGCTGATTCGCTGTCGATAGAAAGGTGGTGATTGGTGACATTATAATTATTGCCATGGCAACATCATATGAAGTTGCTAGGAGGGGAAGATGTCTGTGAGAGTCAGCATTTTTATGCTGAGGTAGGCGAGATGCTGTAAGAGACTCTAGCATTCATTTCTTATGTCAGCAAAATCAGCATGCTTGTGATAATATTGTTAGCAACCAAAAGTGAAATGATCCTTATAGTAACTGGTTCCACACACAGAGACCTCTTTCGTGACTATACCTGAGCACAGCCTGGCTCTGTGTTCATGGGTCTATATATACCTAAACTTCCTAATAACTATAGTGTATGCTGTATGGTACTCTGAGAAAGATACCTCAACAAGTATACTTGTCTCAGACAGACAATCCCAAGCTGTCCTCCCTTTTGGTGCAATTATTTGCACCCTTATCTTGGTGTAGGCCTCATTTAGATCAGTTCTACAGGCTGCAAGCCATGAAAAAATTGTTTTTGTATCCTCAAATTTTAACAAAACAAAGGTAGATATTTCAACTAACATATCTAACAATTTTGGATAGGAGAAGACAGAACAAAGGAAAACTGGGGTGGGCCTCATCTTCTCTAACCTGTTTAACATTCAGCGCAAGAGAACCCGCTGAAACAAAAACCCTATATAGTGTAGTGGAGTATAGTGGAGATTCTATATGTGTAGAGGGCGGCTTCTCATACTGCACCTTACCAAGACAGGGCATTAAAAAGATTTGCACCTTCTCTATTTGCAACTTACACAAATCAGGGACAAATGTCTTAAGCTGACAGCTCTTCTGCTCAGTACTGGTCCAGGAAGTAAGCAGACTAGTGGAACGGGGAGATGACGGAGTCTATGATGTCCTTTCAAAGTCCTTAAAGAAGATGTTACAGAGAGGCCTTTTGGAAAATGCACATAGCCCTCATAGTTGCCCTTTACTGCATTTGTGGTGGTGGGAAGTGGAGGTCCTGTCAACACTCCACCTCCTAGTTCACTAGTAGAAACAATCTGACCTGGGGGGCGGGGGTTTAAGTGCATATTTTTGTGGTATGTGCAACTCGTATTAATGTTGTAATTATCAGTTAGTCTAGAATATGACTCTAATGATCTCACTTATCAATGCCCTAATATGGTATATAAATTGTTTCTTCTGCCATGTTTTTACATATTGCTAACTTAAATTATTTCCTAGGATGATCCTCTCACTAACCTGAACACAGCTTTTGATGTGGCTGAAAGGTACCTAGATATCCCCAAGATGTTGGATGCAGAAGGTAAAGTAGAATCAAATTTTGATTTATTTCCCCCTTCCCCCGCACACACCCAAGAAGTTCCACAAACTTTCTACCTCTACTTAACTAGTTCTTCCAAAAGTTCCCCACCCTTCTTACCAGGTACCTAGACTAGAATAACTGCAATTTTTTTTTCTATTGGCTGGATCCTATCCTGATAACATTTGAATAACAGCACAAGAAGTGTGGATAATGGAAGGTTCTATGTCAGGGCCCCTAGGGAGCAGCAGCACAGATAATGGAACCTTCTAACATGATCTGCCACATAATTCTGACGTGAGATCTGACCTTGATGAAGTAGTCTCCATGCATCACCAGAAATGTATAAGCCAGGCCTAAGATGAATAACAGCATGGTTGCATTTATACTTTCTCCCAAATTTCCCTAGTATTCTCTGTACTTCCCAAAACCGCTCCGTAGCTTGTTATTGTGGAGCTCATTTGTAAATTCAGTAGTAACAGGACACCTGTTTCTGACTGGGCTGGGACTCCACCATGAACAAACAAGCTGAATTCTCAACAAACAGCAAATGACTTGTTATCTCTACAGTACATAAGGAGAGGTGGAAACAAAGGCAGATCATCCTGCATTGTCTCTCACATACTAGTTGCATTTCTCTGGGCATTTTATTTCCTGAGCCACCACACTTGTTAATCAAGGGATCTAGCATTTGACCATTATAACATTCAGTCCTCAGCAGCTAGATTCCTGGAAACATGTGTTAAATTTCCCCTTTTGCCATGTTGTTGCTTTTGCATTTTGAAAATCTACACTGGCTCTGAAATCCACAGTTTTCAAGTTGCCTTTGTTGCTCTGTTCCCTTTCGTGACATTTTCTTTTCCCCCCCTTAAAATTTGGGAGAACATTTTGTACTGGCCATGCTCTGTCCATTCCTCATTACCTCTATCCAGGGAGCTTTTGTGAACTAAAGAGGACAGTGTATTCGACTAGATTTTTTTTTATTTAAAAAAATCATCTTTATCAGGACTTCTTTCATATGCATAGTATGGTGTTAGATGCAGCTAGGTAGTGAGACCGAATTCATCCCAGCAGGTAGCCTCAGATGGACTCCCAAAGTTGCTGGCTCTGAATTTTACAAAGGGCATTTCTTATCCTTTGGGATTTGCCACCAAACTGAACTATCACAGGTTACTGAGACAAATGTAGGTCCCATGAAAGCTCACAGAAGAAGCAGATGGTTAGGTGCATGGCAATATGGTTCTCTTTTTGTGCTATGGCAACTATTGTTCTCCACCGCCATTATCATCCTCAAAGCAGCAAGGAAACACTATGAAAACATTACATGGCCTGAGCTTGCGAGGTGATAAGCACCTGCTTTCCTTAGATGTTTGGAAAACTCAGACTAACAGCCTATTGAGAATGGTGGCCATTTGCTATCATTCACTGAAACAGCAGCTTAAGATTGTCTTTCATCTTCTCAATTTAGCACACACAATTCTTCTATGTCCTACTGGGCACTTGCATCAAGAATATGTATTTTTTGTGGTAAGGAGAAGAGGACAGGGACAAATGCCATTCACCAAGAGGGGAAATCTTCTTCCAAGAAAGTATCTAAAAGACCTATATGTAGAGAATGCGTAGTTTCTAATAGTCACTCCCACCCCTCACCTGGCGTCCCCATAACCTTTTGGTGATCCATCTCGCTTTGCTCACGCCCCATGAGTTGATATGCTCTTTAACTTCAGGTTTTCTTTGACAGACATTGTTGGAACAGCCCGTCCTGACGAGAAGGCCATCATGACCTATGTTTCTAGCTTCTACCACGCCTTCTCAGGAGCCCAGAAGGTATCGCAGGATTCCAAGCTCCCTCCACACAGAGCACCTGGTCCTCTTGCTAATGTCCAAACCTTTTTTTCTTTCTCTCTCTCTCCTATCTAGCTACGGGCATCTTTATTATTATTTTTGGCAGAGTTGGCTTGTTGGCTCCGAATGGCTTTCTGTGTATGTATCATTTTGGGGGGTGCAGATGGGGTCAAACACAATCCCACAGTCAGTGATGTAGTGCAGATCTGTACTTTGGTGCAAGCCAGCGGGTCACTCTCATGGCATTGGGAGCTCTGCTTTTATCCACAGGACACAAAGATCTGAATCTCGGGGGGGGGGGAGTATTTTGCATAGTAATTTGTCACGCATAGTGATCCAGCATCATAACATTCTACATGCCAGCTAATCCATGCTGAATTGCTTTGCTGATCAGCAACACTGCTGTGCGATTTAGACTCCTTATTTTGCGAAACAGCATAATTTTAAGAAATAAGACCTGGATGTCGCAGAGCAGAAAATGTGCATTCTGTTTGCCAAATTCTCTGAAAACATTACTGACAGGATGTCCCAAACAGGAAGTTTCCACAGAGCATTGCAGTTTGATGAATCAGCTGTTCTTTGGTATCTGAGAACTCATCGTAGAGCAAATGGGTTGTGTAGTACAAGTCTCTGCTTGTTCACTCAGAAGTTAAGTCACTCTCAGTTCAGTAAGGTGTTCTCCCAAGTAAGTAGGCCGAAGCTTGAAAGTGGATCCAGAAGTCATGTCATTTCCCTCAAAAGTAGACTAAATGCTAACCTTTCACTAGCTACAGCTTAAGATGGTGGTGGATAGAAGTTGTGGAACACCTACTTTTTTCTGGGATACTTGCAGAAAATGCTGAACCTGTTGGTTCTAGTTAGGGTACTCCTCATGTTCTTAAGCAATTGTGCATTATCAGATTATGCCTTAATTTTTAAGAGATCCTGAGCATGCACTCTTGCTTTGTGGGCCAGAAGGGTTCTGATAGAAAGTAGACTAATCAATACTGAAGCCATGCCTAAATGGACAGATATGCATGTCTGTGTCTTCTAAAGTGAAACAGGGAGCAGTATGGTAATACTTCAGATGTAAACTGCATTTCTAGAACTCCCCTGTGACATGCCATTGGCGTTCTGTCATTTTACTGCAATTGCACGATGCAGTTACCTTAAAATCAACTGTACCAGGCAAGGGGTTACTCTACATCTTTTTCCAATGCACACAGCTGAAGTTTTAAAAAAATCATCCATTTTTAATCTGCAGTTTTATAGATGGAATATCTGCTAGCTGTGCCCACAGCACAAGGGGAAGAGCTGTATGCTCAGAAAACACACATGGGACAGCCCTAGTAAGATGTCAAGCACTGGCACTGCAAGAACAGATCTTCTCTGCCTTGCATCTGGGTTTTGTCATGCCTTTTAACTTCTATATAGTGTCTTCATCGAAATTTAGCTACTTTATTCCTGTGTGTAGAACAGGCACATGGCACTGGCTGTTTACTCCCCCAGATAAAGCTAGATTTGCCCATCTGCAAGTGGGCTGAGGCCACTGACTGTGGAGTTGTGTCAAAGCAATGTGGACTAGGCTGGTTGCTTGGAAACCAAAGCTGAAAACGGGAGGTGGGAACAAGTGCCACAGGACTCCACAAAGCCAACCCTGCCGGTCACGTTCTGATCCGAATTCCCAGCTCTCCGCATGGAAATCTGTTTGGCCTGTCCTGCAATGCATGATGGGAAGTTTTCCCCTCTCTTACCACCCATGACTGTTTTATTTTATTCTGTGTGCTGCTTCTTACTTTATCCTTTCAACCTCTTCTCCTTCTTTGCACAGATATTATAGGCACGCTAAGGCCGGATGAGAAGGCCATTATGACCTATGTTTCATGTTACTACCACGCCTTCTCAGGTGCGCAGAAGGTGAGACTTTACTCCTAACAAACCCCCTCCTCTTCCTTCTGTTTCCCGCCCACCAAATTTAGAGGCAGATGCCCTAAACCGTTAGAGGTATGGAATCCAGTGCTGGCTGTCATATTGAGCTACCTACTATTGACACAACTTCCTTAGCATCTTGGGTGATTAAAAAAACACTCTCTAGCTTTGTTGAGAACTCAGTGGATTTTTTTTCCAATGTAGTGGGTCTCTCTGCTTTCCCCCAGACAATATTTCTGGCCTAGAACACCCAAGTTGCAGCCTACTGGTTCAAATTAATATTGTAGAATATATTCAATACTTTGCTGACAGATCAGATGACTTCCTATTGGAAAGTGCATTGCTAGTTTCAGCTGGGTGCTGGTTTCCTTAGAGCGCTCTGTTCTCAGTCATTTTTGGTGGCTGATACAACACTGGTCCACCATTGGCAATGCTAAGCCTGTTGGGAGTGTTTTAAAGACCCAGCACTAGAGTTGCTTTTAGCCATCAGTAATAATTACTATAGGGCTAAACAACTGAGGTCAAAACTCCAAATGATGCTCAGTTGCAGAAGTTCTCTGATATTTTCCTCCGTACTAATCTTTTGCTCCAGACTGTAATTTCTGCAGCTGGATTTAGTTAAGAACATGTTCAAAAAAAGCTATGCATGATTGAGCATCATGCGTAGATTGCTCCCCATTCATGCAACCTAAAACCAATTGTTCAGCAGGGTTTATTTTATAAGCAAGAGGTCTCCGTTATTATTGGCAGTATACCAACAGTGGTCGTTAATTTCCGAGCAGCTACTTTTCCAAGTGAAGTCAGAAAATTGCCATTCAGCCTTTATGTGGCCATAAAAACAAAATCCCTCCGCTGCTTCCGCTGCTGCTTTACCATCAGTGGAATCTGGTCATGTCTACGTGGATATATATAAATGGCCACTTCTGCTTTGACAGGTGTTCTCCCAATGGGAGACCTCAGAAGGTCTTGTTCTGTAGATGCCAAGCTCATGGAATTCCTGCTCAGTTTACTTATTGTTTCATGGCCAAACTCTAGTGACTTGTGTAAGTTGGGATGGCTGTTCTCTTACATCTTTTTCACACAGCCAGCCTTTGATGCCACAATTGATTATCACAGTCTCTGCATACACCTTTTAACTTTTTCTCTGCCCCATGTTGCTTCTCTTTGCTCCCATCCATCTGTGTCCTTCCTCTGCCGGTAGTTCTGTTGCTTTCCCTCCTCGTACCATTTACGGTGTCCCCTTACCCTTACGGCTTTTTTATCTATGTAATCATCTCTCAGTGGATTTATCCTCCCTTGACATTTTGTACTCGTCTGCAAAAATATTTGGCTTCTGTTGGTTCTTATCACGTCTTAGATGGATTTTGTGGAAAAGCTTTGATTCAAACACACGTGTGTCATTAGCGTTGGCACTGACATCATGCATCTATACCTGAGTAAAAGATGCCAAGGGGAAAACAGACCTTAGTCCAGGCTCCTTGGGCACACATTGGGCAATTAAACTCTGATAAGGATAGCTGGTAATGTAACAAGACTCTCCTTTACTGAACCATTCCACAAAGTTTTCTTTCTTGGACCCTATTCTCCATTCTGCAGTCACATTGCATTCCTAACTTTTTCCTATCCCATATTTGTTGGTAGATTCACAGGGGTTCTCAGGCACAGGTGTAACTCTAAGCTGAACTGAAATATTGCAAACTAAGTTGAAAATGTTCGTTCTGGGGCCTAATTCATATGTTACTGACATGCCATGTTAGCTGCTGAAAAACTGAGTTCACTGTGGCCTGCTCCCTTGGGCCTAACTCTCCATACTGAATGAGATGCAACATAGTGTGAAAGGATATCCACCATTGCTATGGGGCTTCTCTTTCCTCTCTTCTCCACAAGCAAATTTCTGCTGCTTAAGCCGGCAGACAACATCGGATGTCACCAATATTTACAAGCATCTTCTCTGAAAGTACTAAAGGACATATTTTGTAGTTTTTAAAATAGGTAGTGACAGCAGACCTTCTAAATATGTATTTTTTTAAGAATACATTTAATTCACTAATTACCCTTTCAGCACAAGCTTATAGAAAATCTGGGACATGAGTGTTTCTGCAGGGAGCCTTCAAACATAGCTCAAAGGCCAGGTTTTTTTGCCCTGGAATTGTGTAACACTACTCTGGATTTAATATATATCCATCAGACAGCATAGACTATGGATCTCAGTGTTGTAGTGTTCTAGAATGGGGCCAAGAGCTTTGTTCAGTGGTGGGGCCTAGTGCCTGATGCCTTGAAACGGCTGATAAGATACAAATGAGAACATCAGTTGCACAACATCTGGATAGTTGTCGGAAGATGAATATATAGTCTCAAGTTTAGCAGAATCCAAAGTTTTATAATATATTTTTTTAAAATTGAATGCACTGTCAGCTAGCTAGCCAGTCAGCCCAGCAATGAATTCATGACCTGGAGGAAAGAGTTAGGGTCCCTTTCCCTTTGTAGCAGTCCAAATCTGGGGCTATTGTAGAGTGATTAGCAAGCATGCATTTCGGCCTTGCCCAGGAGCACAGAGTGTCTTTTCAAGCTCTGCCCTCTTACTTGACAAGGTGACTTACTGTGATGTCGCTCCATTTCTCATTCAGATTTCTCATTACTGCTACCAGCCCTGAAGGGGAGGTCACATGATCAACTTTCTGCTTCTTTCATTCTCTTATACTGAGTCTTTAAAGGTACAGGGGCCCCAGCCTGCCATGACGTGTATGTGACTGGCTGCTTTTCCTTCATATGATTTTGTGCGTGTGCGTGTGTGTCTATGTATTTCTACACATATACTTGCTTTGGTCCATTTGCTTTCTTCCCGCCGCCCTAACTGCTTCCAACTTTAATAACACTAAACTGCATGAGTGTTTTTATTACTAGATGGTTTTAAATAATGTGTTTTTAATACACTGTCGAAGGAGATTCCTGGAAATAATTATAGGCAAGTATTTTGATTAAGCTTCCATTTGATAGGTAGCATTTCAGGATTCCATCATTAATCTGTGATGAAAAGACAAATGTCCAAATTGTTTTATATACCTATTATATTAAGCCTTTCACTCATTCATTTAGACACCAGGGGAGATAGGGAGCCATATCTATGCTGTTCTTTCTTAATGTTGAGACAAAGAGGTGAGGCATTATTGGCACTATCTAGCCTTACCTGTTCTGTGGGTAGCATCTGGGATTAACAGTCTAGTCGCCTATAGGAAAATACTGTGGGCATGTATTTGCTTAAGATACATTTTGGACCCATTAATGAAAGTATACCCCTTTTGTTACTGGACAGTGGAACAAGTTACTGGACAGTGGAACAAGTTATAAGTCTCTGTACTTGCAAGTTTTTAGGGAAAATAGCAAGATTCTTAGTAGAGCGAACTTACCAGTACTTTAATATCAGTACTTTAGGGATGTCAGATAGTGGCGGCATAATACAACCTTTTCCCTCTGCAATTCACATGTATAATATAATACATTTAATTACAGCACCAGAAGAGAACAATTTATATTGTGAATGTTCAAGTGCTGCCAACTTGAAGTGGCTAAAAGTGTCCCATTTCTTAAAAGAGGCCTGTTCAGTTTGAAAGCTTGCATAGTCCTTTCAGGGGTGGATAAAAGCAGGTTGTTTCTGCTCCAGAATTCTGTGCAAGCCCAAAATCTTAGGATTTCTAGAGACCAGCGAATGGTGCTTCAGTGCCCTTTCTAGTTCTGTGATTTGTCGATACAAAAAAATATGCAAAATGAGAAAGTAAAGTTAATGCACATTCAGTTAATTTTCATAATGTTTTAGAATTCAGCTTACCTTGGCATAAAAATAATTGATTATTATTACTTTAAACACCACACATCCCTAAACAAAAAAAAAGGTAAATGTTGTCATTTTGGTTTATCTTCTCTGGAGCCAAAAGCTTAGTGTTGAATGTGAGCATCAGCATTGTAGGAAACTGCTTTGGTGTCCTCTCAGTTTTAATATGGAAGTTCCCTGTCTTCCGATGGGGTAGCCTGGCAGGGGTTTCTAAAAGCTATTTACTTATTTATTGTAAATATTTTTATTCTGCTTCATCCCTAAATCTGCCCAAGATAGCTATATCAAGATGCTCAGAATGCTCAACTCTCTGCCAAAGTAAAGGAATTCTTAGAATGGTTTTGAAATATACTAAGACTTTCACTACAAGAACTCAGCAAGGAAGCTGCTGGAAAAAAATGTCTCCATGCTGTAGATGTCCTGGGTTGGCAGGTAGATAGTTTCATCCTTCTTGGGGGATTGTGACGAGGCACGTAGAACTTCTCAGATATGTTGGGCCAGAGCAGCCTTCTCTAACCAGCTGCTCTCAAAATGCTTTAGACTACAGCTCCCATAAGCCCAGAGCCAGCATTGTCCAGGGGCAAGGAACTTCAGGCCTGGGGGTGAAATGCAGGATTCTCCTTAAGGCACACGCCCCTCCTCAAGCACAGCCTCTTTCCCAAGGCCAGACCACTTCTCTGGCCTTCCTTCATGACCTCCTTGAGAGTTTTTGCTTGACTGGGAAGTGGTGTTGGATTCTGAAAATGACTTGTTGGCGTGGCTGGAAGACAGAGAGGAGGGTGTTAAGTGGGTGTAGAAACTAAGCCTACTGTACAAAGGTAAAATTGTTCTACCTAGTTTTGACTGTCCCTGCCCAGTGCTGGCATGTTGCCTCCAGAAGGAAACACAGCCCTTGGGATGAAAAAGGTTTCCTTCCCCTGTTTTTGTCCAAATCAAACTAGAGGACACCAGTTTGGAGAAAGCTGCGCTAGAAGGTTGGTTTTGTTTTTGTTTTTGCTAGTTCCAGTGAAGTCTAAAAGGAAAATAGAAAAAGGGTTGCAAACTTTTAACAAGCAATGGCTCAGCTTTTTAAAAAATGAAATTATGTTGCTACCCTCTGAAGATCTGTAAAATAATTCAGTGGATATATATTGTTGCATTGGTGTCCCAGTTCAAGTGAAAGATACAAGGGACAGTTTTGTAGCCTCTTAGGACTGTTGAGCAGTACAGCTTTGGACTTCAGGCTTTATTTCTCTTCTTGCTGCCCCCAGTCTGCTCCTTCATTTAGGCCCTCTGACCTCATGTAACTTTGAGGCTGAATTGGCAGGTTGGGATGAGTCTGTAGAATACTCAAACCCAATACTACCTTTGGCGGTGATTCCTAAAAGTATACATCAGTTACTCTATTTTTAAAAATCTAGTACAATGTATGTAATAATGAGAACTCTTGTAGGATTAAGGGAAGTTCATGTTTCTTCCAAAACCTAAGAGTGTGAGACGATCACAGCAGAGCTACAGTTTCATATGAGAGCACTTTGATAGCTTTGAAGATTTGGATATGTATGGAATAGATGTCAACAGTAGACCTGTGGCTTCACACTTTCCTCAGGGGCAAGTTAGTTTTGGTGAGAAGTGATTCCTTGTAGCACCTCAAAACAGAGGTGGAAGAATAACTACAACCAAAATGGAAACCATTGATCATTTGAGGTGGAAGAATGTTATTCTACAAGCAAAATGGAAACCATTGATCCATCGAGACAAATGGGGTTAGATTTTTACCTCATTTAGGTTTATGGTCTTGGAGAAGGTTTGGATAGGCACTTACTTGTTCCAAGAATAATTTTCCACTTTATGCATTCTCTCTCATACCAGACATTGATGTGCATAGATATGGATGTGCACCTAAATGGATATGGGCAAGTGTAGAGGGTAAAAAACCTCTTAGGCATTGCAAGTGTACATTCACATCAAAACTCCCAGAAGAGAAATGATAGCAAGAGCACTTCAAAATCTTCATAATGTGGAGATAAATTTGGACCAGTAACATTCTCTTAGGCACAGAGTGGACTGTGCCTTTCCTAAAAGCATCAAGAAGCTGAAGGAAACATCTTTGTTAACAATGTATTTTTCTTTCTTTCTAAATTTCGGTAGGCGGAAACAGCAGCCAATCGTATCTGCAAGGTGCTGGCAGTTAATCAAGAGAATGAACAGTTAATGGAAGACTATGAGAAGTTGGCCAGTGATGTAGGTATTCCTGATTTCAATTTCTTGACAGAGCTATGTGGAAATGGAAAGATAGATATTCCATAGAACATCCTTCTGCAACCTGGTTCTCAAAATGCTTTGGATTATAAACTCCCATCAACCCCAGTCAGGGATGATGGGCACTATGGTCTAAAACATCTGGAGGGCACCAGATTGGGGATGACGGCTATGGGACCTATATATTTCTCAGTTTTGGATCCCAGATATCAAATCAACATATATTTTTAAGTATGCAGTTGCAGGAGTCTATAGTCATGTTAAATTCATTCTGGTGTGACCTTCAGGCTCATGTAAGTAATTTTCCTTTAGTGATCTGTTTATTTATTTATTATTGGGGTTTTTAAAAAAACCCAAATAGCATTGTATAATGCTCGGGCTAAGAAACTAAACACTAATAGGGGACAGAAACTGATGGCTTAGGCTATAGGAAAGAGTGCATTAACTGATAGTAAGAAGTTGCTCCTGACATGTGAGTGGAATAGTGGCCTGCAGGTGGTGGCAGCAGGCATGGGCAAAACAAAAATGTTAAATTAACTCCAATGCTACTGCAGAAATTGTCAAAGGAAACCTATAATCACCCCAATTGTAGTAGTAGTAATATCACCACAAAATGAACTTAACTCAAAAGCCACAAGGGCTAGGAATATATGCAGCCCTGGGAAGACTATCATCAGAATTGGTCCATCACCAAAAATCAGTGGAAATAAACTCAGAAGCATGATGTAGAAATACTCATTAGCCCCGTTGAAAATTAAAAGCTAGATTGCGTGCTTATCTTACTTAAGGTTTCAGGTCCTTAAATATGCTTGTTAGTGTAAAGTCTAGAGATGCAAAGTGTGAAAACACATACAAACATACAAGTCTGTTAAACTAGATTTCTGCCAGTTGCTGAACCTTGCTGGCAAATAAAATTACAATAATGAAAGGCAAGATAATTGTAGGACTAAAACCACAAATAACAAAAAATCAAACCCTTGTCCCTGTTAAATGTCAGCACTGATGGGTTTCTAATCTTAGCACAGTTCCCGCTTTCTTGTTTGACTAGCTTCCTTTTTTTCAGTTGCTGGAGTGGATCCGCCGCACCATACCTTGGTTGGAGAATCGGGCTCCAGAGAACACCATGCAGGCCATGCAGCAGAAACTGGAGGATTTCCGAGATTACCGCCGCCTTCACAAGCCTCCCAAAGTCCAAGAGAAGTGCCAACTGGAAATCAACTTCAATACGTTGCAGACTAAGCTGCGACTTAGCAACAGGCCAGCCTTCATGCCTTCTGAAGGGAAAATGGTATCGGTGAGTGTGTTTGGCCGAGTTCTGAGCAAAAGACAAGTTTTCTAGGTACATGCTGTATGGCTGCTGACACTTTCAAGTGGCCCATGTATCCCATCCTGGTATTCAGTGGACTTTCTCATCACAGCCTGTGGTCCACAGAGATAACCATTCATGAATGGTATAGCTCTTGCAAGTTGACAGCATGTTCTTGTCATCCAACTGCTATAGAACATGGGTGCAAAACGATTATTATGGGTGTCCCAGGTTGCTGTTGCTTAGGATCCACTCACCCCTGCATCAACACAGAAACCTTGGGGCATCAAGGACCCTGAAGGCAATGGAAATCCTTCCACTTGATCATCTCAGGAAGGGGCCACTCCTTGCATTGACATGTTTTGATAGAGGCAGAAGACCAGTAGGCTGCTCTTTCTTTCTGCTGTTCCTGATCATGTTTCCTTGCTGATATTCTCAGATCCCGAAACTTCTTCAACTCCATACCTCTTTCACCACTGGTCCCAGAGGCAGTAGGAAGTACACTACTTTTGCAGGATTGCACATCTTCATATCATATTGCACATCTTTGTATCAGAGAGCTGGCTTTTTAGCTGAGGACAGGGAGGTAGCGACTAGAAAACAGACCTCTTGCATCATCATCATCATTTTTTATTTGTATGCCGCCTTTCCACAGTTAAAAAACAATGCTCAAGGCGGCTTACAGCACAACAAGATTTACATAATTACAAAAGTCATAAACAATAAATAAACCACATCAAAAAAATACACAACCAAATGGGAAACAATTTCCACATAAATCTAAAACTAAGAATACGGCATTAATATCAGTTTAAAATGACATAGGTAAAAAATAACAGCAATTTAAACAAAAACAAAATGGAGCCCTCTCTGCCCAGCAGCAGCAGCGGCAGCGGTCCTTTATAGAGCCCATCAGGCCCCGCCCTGGGCCAGGTGGTGAGTGGCAGGACTGGGGCCCTCAGGTGCTGAGTGGGGGGTATTGCTGCCATTGGTAGGTGGCAGATCAGTGCTGCAGCAACTGTCCAGGTCAACTGCTTTCCCCAGATGTTGCTTAGTTAGCTTAAGCCTTGCCTGTAGTTCCTACTGTCCCTGGTTCTGGTGCTGTCTGCTTATCAGTTTGTCATACTCTGCAGCCCATCCATGCCCAGGACTGCTGGTGCTCCAGAGCCTTAGCCCTCCTCAATGGATTAGCAGCAGGCTTCTGCAGACACTTGTTTTCTAAATTGCTTGTGGACCTTCCAGTGGTTTGCATGGTTTTCTGTTAAAATGCCATTGTGCTCTAGTGTAATGGCAAGCAGTTGCCATTCTGTCAAAATTATTTGCCCACTTGAAACTTCCTTTTCACATCTCTTTCTGGAGTGATGCTGACCTTCAGTTAGCACAGGCCATTTGCAAGCCAGCTTGGGGAAACTATCTTGAGGATGTTTTAGAAGATTTCCCTTCTTCTGAACTTGCTCGTGCTTCCTTGACTGTGTTTGTGCTTCTGCTTTGATCGCTACAGGATATAAATAATGCATGGGGGTGCCTAGAACAGGCCGAGAAGGGCTACGAGGAGTGGCTTTTGAATGAAATCCGAAGATTGGAACGGCTGGATCACCTGGCTGAGAAGTTCCGGCAAAAAGCTTGCATTCATGAATCCTGGACAGACGGTAAAACAGATCCTAAATGTGTCCTATTGCCAGGGCTTTGTGTGCACTGTGTAACAATAAATCCATGCATCATTATTATTACGAATTATGATGATGAGCTGTGCCAAGGTAGCCTAAATTCTCATCTTTATTAGTAAATTAGCATGCTCTTCATACTTTATTTTGGGGGTAGGTAGAAGGGAGAATTGATGATGAATCTGGGCAGCCCTGAATTTTAGTTGTTTCTCAATAGCAATGAATAAAGCTTAGAAGAGAAACCAGAAATGCTTGTGTGTGCGAGAGAGGTAGAACCTGCAAGCTGGAAATCTGCCTACCCCTGCTTAGTTAACACCAAAGAGCAATCCTTCTCACCAGAAGCAGCTTGCTGAGTGGGGGCACAGCCACTATGTAAGCTTCCCTGCAGGAGAATCATTATCGCTTACCAGGAGGAGGGACAGGGAAAGGACTGAGGCAGCCGGAAGTACGTGTGGTGCAGATGCATCAGCAGCGCTCACCTGGTGTTTCTGTCAGTGAGTTTGCACTGCATCAACCTTCCTGCCACCTTGGCCCTCTCCTTCCTGGTAGACAATAGCAACCCATCTGCCAGGAAGCTAGTACAGCACCTCTGACCCACCTGGCAAACCACTTCTCCTCCCCTTGTGGGTTACTGATATTGGGACTCCTGGAGATCTTGTTTGGCTGATCTCTAGGCTTCTAAGATCCACTTGGCGTTTCACGCCTGTCTTTCTAGTCATTAGGGAATTGTTTTAATTTTAAAGAATCAAAGCTAAGATTTTCAGAGAGCTGTATTTTGTGTCCACTAGCACATACGGTGTTTCTGTTCTGTGCATGTGTTAAATTGTAGAGTGCAATCAATGCCCAAATGCCTAAAACAGCACCCAGTTGCAGACAGATATTTTTTTAAATGAACATCCTTGCAAAAATATGGAAGCTTACAATTCTCAGATAATTTATGCAGTCCCAAAATTGCCTGTTCTTAATCCAAGGCTTTCCCCATGGGTCAAAATAAAGGCAGCCTGCAACAAATCTCTGTTAATGGTAAAATTTATTCACGTTAACTTAAGGATTGGGCTTGATTAAATTGTTATTAATTATTATTACTTTCTATTTTTTAAATTTCCTTGGGAGAGCATTGCAAAAGTGGGGCGCTACCACAAAAAATGCCCGTTCTCATGTTGCCACCCTCTAGACCTCTCATGGAGGAAGAACACAAAGATTACATGCATTGACTAATATAAATGATGTAGATGATTTTACTGAAATATGGCATTCTTTTATAAAATACTTTGCCGAGAACCCTGAAGAATGGTAATTACCAAAATCACAGATTGGATTTGGGGCAAATTTAACTAGATTAATCCTTCCTCAAGTGAGGAGGAGGGCAAGTTGGAACCCCCCCCCCTTTTGTAATTGTTATATATTGGAAGTTAATGAAACTATTTTAGAAGGAAGGATATGCTACTCTATCAAAACTTCCTCGAAACTCCTTACCTGTTGGTCTTTTGCTCATTTTTCCTGTGTTTTGGCACCCCCTTCAGGTAAAGAGGCAATGTTGCAGCAGAAGGATTATGAAACTGCCACCCTCTCAGAGATCAAGGCCCTGTTAAAGAAGCACGAGGCATTTGAAAGTGATCTTGCTGCTCATCAGGACCGTGTGGAACAGATTGCTGCTATTGCACAAGAACTCAAGTACGACTTTCGCCTAGCAAATGGGCTTCACCTTTTGACACATAACCAAACAGTGGCCTTTTCAACAGTCAGCAAGCCTGGGACACCCTTTGAGCTCAAAGGCAAATCTAGTTCTTTTTAGACACAAGACTATAGGGAAGCACCCTTATTTGAAAGAAAACATTGGCAAGGATTAAAGCACAAAAAGAGGGGTGTAGGCTAGTGAGGGGAGAAAGGGACCTCTTGACTATGACGCCTAACAAAATGCAATAGGGGTTTAAACAACTGATGTGCATAGATGTCATTGATCCATATTTGAATACCTGCATCTATATGTTCATTTTGCCTTCAGGCTCAAGGCTTACCTGAGCCCGTAAGAGCTGTCATCCGTGTGCAGAGGCTGTATGCCTCTGAAGCTGAGTTGCTAGGTCAAGGTAGAACGGGGGGGGGGGGGGCGCGGAGAAACAAGTGTGGGAGACCACTTTTAGAATCAGGATACTGAACTAGATGGATCTTTGATCTGATCCAGCCAGGGCTCCATTCTTCATCTTTTAACAGCATTAGCAGGTTATTCAGTTTCAACATGTTTGGTTTTGGTTTTTTTTTAAAAAAAGAATAGATTCCAACTTTTACCAATGTGTTTGGTAAACCACTTTTTCAACTTTTTTTGCTAGTGAGCTGGATTATTACGATTCCCCAAGTGTCAATGCCAGGTGCCAGAAAATATGTGACCAGTGGGATAACCTTGGGGCCCTGACCCAGAAACGACGAGAAGCCCTGGAGGTAAAAGGTTCTTCATATGTTTCATATACAGCTTGTTTCTCCCTCTGTGTCGTATGAGGGCAGAGTGGGGTGGCAGTTTCACTCAGTGAAGCCGACATCGTGGTCTGCTCCTCATACCAGTCCTGTGGAACAGATTGCTGCTATTGCACAAGAACTCAAGTACGACTTTCGCCTAGCAAATGGGCTTCACCTTTTGACACATAACCAAACAGTGGCCTTTTCAACAGTCAGCAAGCCTGGGACACCCTTTGAGCTCAAAGGCAAATCTAGTTCTTTTTAGACACAAGACTATAGGGAAGCACCCTTATTTGAAAGAAAACATATCGCCCAGGCCTACTCCCAATACCAACCTGCCCAGGTTTTGACATTAGCAGAGGGTCCTTCTTGTTGTTCCCATGGTGAGTGTTGCTTTCTGCATGAGGATGCACGATATGGCCTTCTTGGTAGTGGTGCCAGGCTTACGATGGACCTGCTTTGTTTTATGCCTGGCACCACTACCAAGAAGGCCTAGTTTTAGATTTTATGATGTTCTAGTTTTAGATTTTATGATGTTTCACAATGGTTTACCCATTGCTTTTAAATGTGGTATCATAGATCAAATGATATTTTAAAAATTGATTTTCCTGTTATTTTGATTGTTGGAATCTGCTTTGCGTTCAATTCTTTGATTTTTAAAAAAAAGCTTGAAAAAAATCTGTAACTTGAAACTGCTTCCTAACTGTGGTTCTGTGGACTGTGGGAAAAGGGAAGGTGTACTGTTTTAAATTTCGATAATGTTAAGGCCTCTGCTTGGATTGCTTTGAGAAGAAGGGTGGCATATAAATTAAATAAATACATATGTAAATTACAGCTTCTTTCTAAAAAAAAGAAAACTAGGAGAAAGGACTGCAAGGAGTAACAAAAGAGGAAATGCCGTGTTTGGTGGGTCATTAGGACAGGGGGAGTGTGGGGGAAATTCAAGGTGCCTAACTTCTTTGTCTGGGTGGATTTCCTAGAGAACAGAAAAATTGCTGGAGACAATTGACCAGCTGTATCTAGAATATGCCAAACGAGCTGCCCCTTTCAATAACTGGATGGAGGGGGCCATGGAAGATCTTCAGGACACCTTCATAGTCCATACCATTGAGGAGATCCAGGTATGTACCCCCTCTCAATGGATAAGCCATATTCATCTTTGGCTCTTGTTCATAGGGTGCAAAATATCAGCTGATACTAATGTTTCCTGCCAAACTCTAGCAATGGAAATAAATCACCTTCTCTCAGCAGCTCAGGCAGGTAACAGCAACTGCCTGTAAATTGGTGGGAAAGATTGGATAGTTCCCTCTGCCTGTTAGATGTACAAACTGAAGCAAATGAAGTAAGAAAAGAGAAAAGGAAACACAAAAATCAAAAGACTAATAAATGTATTACGGCAATAAGCTTTTACGGACCATAATAAATGTGTTAGTTTTTAAGGTGCCACATTATTCTTTGATATTTTTGCTGCAATAGCACAACTATGCCTCTGGAAATGGTTACAAAAAAATTAAAACTTCCCATACATTCCCATTTCCCAGGCCTATATCTATTATGTGTCTTGTTCCGAAAATAAACACATTGTTCTCACCTAACCCTTTTGATTCAGTGATCAGGGCTACATTAATTTCAGGTCTCAACAACTTAATCTGTTTTCTGCAGCATGGCAAAAAAAAACCTGGCGTATGTTTAGTAATGTGCAGGAAAAAGTGCCTCCTGAACACATAAAAAGTGCTTTTCTCACTCTGGTTAGTCATAGCCATTCCCTGCGCTAAGGATTGAGGAACTGCCCTGTCATCCTTCAGCAATTTTAATAAATAATAAAATAAAAGTAATAAAATAACAGGCTTTGAAGATCAGCTGATATACTGCAGGAGTGGGGAGCCTTTGCCCTCCAGGTGTTGTGAGACTCCAGCTCCCATCAGCCCCAGCCAACATGGCCAGTGGTCAGGCTTGATGGGAGTTGTAGTCCAACAACATCTTGAGAGCCAGAGTTTGCCATCCCTTTGGGCTTAGGCATCTTTCTCTTTAGAAAACAAGTATTCGGAACAGTTAAGTAAGTAATGCCTGCAGTAAGTAAGCCAGCAGTCTCACACCAACATATGTAACAGGAAGCACTGTTGAAGTCAGCAGGGCTTGCTTTTGAATAGACAGGTGCAGATTTGGGCTCCGACTCAGTTTTCCTTTACCTTCCCCTATGCTAAACCATCTACTACCAAAGGGGAGCTTTCCCCATCCCTGCCTGCAACCCGGAAATGCCAGAGCCCAACCCCTAACTGATGTAAGAAAATGGCCTCCGAGAATAATAAAAAGGAAATGTGCTTTTGGCACTCTTGCCTTAAAATCTTTCCAGCGTGTCCTTCAGTAGTCATGCAGTAGGAAGTTTTATTTGCTGCACAATTTAATTTTCCACTGCTCCAGTGCAGTTCCCTGCCTTTATAATTCTCATTTGTAGAAAAGAGAATCTTTCCCTGACACTGTTTAAATTATTCCAATGTCCTGTTGCACACACAGATTCTTCCATCCTGTGTGGTGTATTATAACACAGTTTTATGGGGAATGGGCTTGTTCTTTTTAAAAATTGTTTTTGTGTTTTCTGTTTCCTTCAGGGATTGACCACAGCCCATGAACAGTTCAAAGCTACCTTGCCAGATGCAGACAAGGAGCGACAGGCCATTCTAGGAATCCACAACGAAGTGTCAAAAATCGTTCAGACCTACCATGTCAACATGGCAGGAACCAACCCCTACACCACCATCACCCCACAGGAAATCAATGGCAAATGGGACCACGTGAGTTGCTTTCTAGGCTTGGCAATTATTCTTCTAGGTTGGAAGCCTGGTTTTGGAATTCTGGCAAGCAGCTCAATCTCAGACGTTTTTACTTGGGCGTAAATCCCACTGAATTCAATGAACCTCCTTCCAAGTAAGGGTGCATAGGATTGCAGCCTTAGTTGAAATTCTCATAGATGTGCAATGTAATATCTTGACTCTTGGTTTGCATGCAAGTAATCCACAGTGCAGATTATAAAAGGTAATTCTGAACTCATTTTTATTCTTGTGCTGTAGGAAATAATTTCCGCCTGCGAAATATATATTTATTGAGCGGCCTGGTGACTTATGTCACCAATGCTCCCACCAAGTAGAATTAATTTATTTGGAGCACTTACAGAAATATTGGCATTCCATCTTGACTTTTGGATGATCTGCTGACATTTCCGATGTTGCGTCTCACCTATAATAGATATGGAGGTGTTAATTTTCTTTGTGGACATTAATCCACTTAAATGGAAATTTTTATTTTAATACCTACTTGTTCAGAAGAGGGCTGGATTTATCCTTTTGATTAACAGTGCATAGAACTTGGCTTCTCTGACTTCAGAACGCTTCGTGTTTATTAAGGCTTAACAGCAGTAAGCTCGATTTTTCTAAGCTTTTTCATATTTGCTGAAGGTGAGACAACTAGTTCCCAGGCGAGACCAGGCTTTGATGGAAGAACATGCACGCCAGCAGCATAATGAGAGACTTCGCAAGCAGTTTGGGGCTCAGGCCAATGTCATTGGGCCCTGGATCCAAACCAAGATGGAGGTAAAAACTTGCTAATACTTAAAACTGCCATTTTTTCTGTTGAAGAGCCTCCTAGTTGGGCATTGTCTTTTCATCCTTTCAGTGAAAAGGATTTGTGCTGAGAGAAGTCACCACTCTCTTTGGCCTGGTTTGCACAGCATGAAAACCCAAACCATGGCTTACTTACTGGGACTTTGCAAACATGCTAGCTTCCAGAACAAACCTTGGCTACAGACGGTGGCTAAGAAGGAGAGAGCTTAACCATGATCTTGGCTTAGCTGCAACACTGTGCTGAGCTAAAGGACTGGGGAAGAACAAAGCGGCTGCAATCTCCGCCTCCCCTCCCCTGAGCCAGTATATCTGCGCTAAGCTTTACTTGCAAAGTGGCCCTTCTTCTCTCTCCTTACTAATCTTCACAAATACACATGTTCTTTGTTTAAGATACTCAATGGCCAGTGGTTACTTCTTATTTAAAAACCATTCTTAGACAAGAAATTATTGAGGGTGGCTTTCTATAATAAAATGCTAAATTAAGTAGGTACTAAATTAACTGAGATGTGCCTTAGGAATAGTTTGTGCTTTGCATTTTTCGTCTGCATGTTCATGTTCCAGACTTGCTCCATCGGAATTAGCTTCAGATTGGTTTTAAAACACATACACCACAACTGACTGTAGCTTCAGACCACATTGTACGTGTAGCTGTGCATATTTGTTTGCTTTTTTAAAAAAAATGCCTACAGTCTGAGTGGGACGCAGGTGGCGCTGTGGGTTAAACTACTGAGCCTATCCCTGCAATGTTACTCGGTCCCTGCTCCTACCAACCTAGCAGTTCAAAAGCACGAAGTGCAAGTGGATAAATAGGTACCGCTCCGGCGGGAAGGTAAACGGTGTTTCCGTGCGCTGCTCTGGTTTCGCCAGAAGCGGCTTAGTCATGCTGGCCACATGACCCGGAAGCTGTACACTGGCTCCCTCGGCCAATAAAGCGAGATGAACGCCGCAACCCCAGAGTCAGTCACGACTGGACCTAATGGTCAGGGGTCCCTTTACCTTTACAGTCTGAGTACATGCAGGCGCATCTGGTCACAATCATAATACATATGGTTTTAAAACAATGTGTAGCTCCAGATCTGCTAGGTTCAGGTATAACTGATCTGTAATATGTACCCAATAAATTAAGCCAAGCTCTAACTTAGGGCTCCTCCTGACTTCCTTTTGAGCCACGTTTCTAGGCTCAGTGGATGGCTTTGAGGTTTTCTTCCTGGGCCAGATCATCTCCCCTCTTTGGAATGGATCCAGTGGATCTATCACTGCCTACCCCCCTCCCCCAGCTCTGCCTCCAGCCCACACCTGTAACGCCTCATTTCAGAGCCTTATACCAGTTACCACTGGTGAGAACACCACCAATGATAGCTTCCCAACAGCCTGTGCTTTAGCCACATTGAAGATTTCTGCAATGGCCCCAGTCAGCGGAGGGACACCTCCACCTAATCCCACCAGCAGCACTGAGCAAGGGATTAGGATAGTTTTGTAACTGTGCTAAAAAGGAAACAAATTTATCTTCTGAAAGCCCTTAACACAGCTGGGCAGGTTTTCAGTTGGTGTTAAATATTTAACTCAGTAGAGCTGCAGTGAATTATTCCAGCGACTCGGTTTTGTTTACCTGTTCTCTGAAAAACCTGCAAGCAAAGCTCTTTTCCCCTTGAGATGACAAGGCCTGTGGTTAAAGCATGTTTTAGTCCATTTAGGGAACAGTTGCAGACAAATGCTTTACATGTTGAAACTTGTCACTCATCTGCTCATTTCCTTTGGGCTCGTGCAGGAGATTGGCCGCATCTCCATCGAGATGCATGGGACTCTGGAGGACCAACTCAATCACCTGCGGCAATACGAGAAGAGCATTGTGAATTACAAACCAAAGATTGATCAGCTGGAGGGAGATCACCAACAGATTCAAGAGGCGCTGATCTTTGACAACAAGCACACCAACTACACTATGGAGGTAAAGGCCAGGGGAGGTCTGTGCTGGTATAGCCCAGGCATGCAAGGAGTAATACCCTGAGCCAACCAATCCTGCTCTTGATTAAACTGATGTTGGGGAGAAGGGTGCTAAACTAGTAGCACTGACTAGCCATGCAGATGTGTACAGATATTGACATACAACACTTTTGGCTAAAGCCTTCACTTGTGCAAATGACAGAGAGGGTGACTGATTTAATGTTCAGTAGCACAGTCTGGAACCTCACCGGATTCACCTTTGCTTAAGGCCCATAGTTTGCAGCCAAGATAGACTATTTTGACTGTGAGGAATAAGGCCCTCACATAATGGGGACTGGCTGGCAAGCTGGAGCTTGCCAGCTGTTTAATTGGTAAGAATTACCTATTAAAGTAGATAGCATGACAATATATTTTTAATATTGTGATTGCCCTGTGAACTGCCCTGAGACCTCTGGGTATAGGGCAGTATATAAATTCAATCAATTAATAAGGAATTCTGTGTTAGAAGCAGTTTCTTATCAGCATTGTCTAAATGTGGGGTGGGAACCTGGGCTTGGGGCTGCATTGCTCCAGTGGAAAGCTCACCCGCCCCCAGTTCCTCAAGTGATCAATGCAGATCAGCTAGGAAGGAGGACATTTCCGTACCTACTGCAATGCCAGGATGGGAATGCGAATCATTCTTTTTCCATTTCTCAGCTGATTGGCACAGACCATCTGAGGAGCATGGAGGGTCCGATTTCATCCCCATTGCAGCCGGCTAGGTGGGGAGGTTTAAACCTCCAGTGCATGACACTCCTTGGCTGGTCCACACATCAGCTGTGGATGATGGTGGTTTTCTTCTCCATCACAGGGTGCCAGGCAGTTTAAACCTCTCTACCCAGGATACCTTGATCAGGAAGAACAGCTGATTGGAGTGCTGAGGAGCAATAGGCAATTTTCATTCCCATGTAGAGGAAAAACCTTCCACCCAAAGTACCATTCGGTGGATGAAAATTATGCCCTCCCTACTTCTCTGATGGTCCACGCCAATGTGCACACACCTGGGGAAGCCACGGGAGTGCTGTGGATTGCATAGGAAGGTCTAGTGGGCTGGATTAGGCCTACCCTTGTTTTAAATGAAAACCTAGGTCAGCTTTCCCCAACCTGGAGCCCTCCAGATGTTTTGGACTACAACTCCCATTATCTGCAACCAGCATCGCCATGTGCTTCCTCTCCCTACTGGGCAGCACATTTTCCAAGTCTACAATCACTTTTACTGCATTTTGACTAGTCTCCAGATGCTGCTTCTCAACTTAAAATGTAGGTGGGAAATCGTTTTTTCTCCTCCAGCACATCAGAGTGGGCTGGGAGCAGCTCCTCACAACCATTGCTAGGACTACCAATGAAGTGGAAAACCAGATTCTGACTCGGGATGCCAAAGGAATCAGCCAGGAGCAGATGAATGAATTCCGCGCCTCCTTCAACCACTTTGACAGGGTAAGTGGCATGGGTGGTTGGGATGGTGGAGATTAGTAGTGCCTGTAACTTCAGAGAGTTTCTCCATAGAACCGAATGGAAACCAAGGCTCAGATTCTCCTTGTGAAACCACAGCTCAAGTAAAACTTTTTTAAAATGTGGCAGAGTCCATTAACATTAAAGCATTTGGGGACTCAAAGGAAATGCTAACACAAACATTTAAAAACCTTATCTCTTTGATTTTCAAACCCTTCTCAGATTTAATAGAAATGGCCACATTAACCTAATGAGCCTCCGTGAGAGTAGCTAATGGTTGTGGGGTTGTTTGTTTGTTTGTTGAACTTGATTACATGCCACTTCCTAGCAAAGCTCTTGTATGTTATCCATCCATTAGAAAATGTACAGTGATAACTTATTGCAGTACAAATACTCTACATGTGTAAGCTCACAGGTCAGGTATCGCTGTCAGTTCAGGCCACACTGTCTGTGCTTCACGTTCTTCCTTCTGGATTGTTCTTAAGGTTTTTGCCTCAAAAAGACCGAGGCTAACCTTGCATGGAACAATCTTCAGCTCAAGCCACTGAATCCAGGCAAAATACTGTTATGTCAGCAACAGCACAAAGGAAGACACCTGGCTGCACAGAATGGCTGTAAAAAATGTAGTCACCTCATGCGCTAATAGTGTGTAGCTTTTAGGCGTGCTCTGTCAAGTCCTCTATCTCACTCGCATTTTAATGTAGCTTATATTCACTATGGGAGTTGTTTTTGTTTGTTTTTTACAATTTAGAAAATACAAAGGCAAGTTAATGTTGCGTCATATCTCTGGGTAAACGTCTAAGTGAAAGACAAAGGTCTAGTTTTCAGTGCAGGGAGCATCAAGTAGGAGACTTGGTCCAAGTTCTGTTGCAAGGATAAACTTTTGGACTAAAAATGGCTGCAGAGTTGGGGCCACTCTAAACTACATGAACTCACATGTTCTTCTAAATCCAAGGCTCCTCTAAGCGCAAAGATGCTTCAGCAACAGGATATTCCAAATGTGTCCAATGCTTCTCTGCAGTCCAGGTGGCTCACTAAATGTTTTGCTTCTAAACTTGTTGAAGAAAATATAATTGTTTCTAATGAAAAGCAGTCTTCAAAGCAAACATTTGTCCCTGGCATGGTCATGTTTTGTGAGAAAGAAGTGCAAAAAGAAAAAAAGAAAAGGCAGCATTAGCACAATACGAAATGTGAACACAGTATCTAACCTTGTGCACTTTTTATTTCTTCCCCTGTTTTATTTCCTGCATGCCACTCTCCCCCCAATCTCTCTCCACCTGCTGCATGGTGCACCTCCTCCTCCTCCTCCTCCTCTCCTTGCCCCTTTCTTGTTCTCCTTCTCTTCTTTGTCTTATACCACCACCCCACTGGCACTGCATGCCCTGCTGGCTGGCGCACTGCCTAACCAGGACCACTCCGGCACACTTGGCCCCGAGGAATTCAAAGCCTGCCTCATCAGCTTGGGTTACGATATTGGAAACGATGCACAGGTACTGAATGCTAGCAAGGAACTCAGGCAAATATCAAACCCTAAGGGAATAACATATTTCTCCCTTCTCTTCTTTTTTGTTTTAATCCGTCTTTCAATGTTCTTATATTTTATTGTGCATATTTCTGCATACTGTTATATGTTCTGTCATAATTCCATTCTTTTCTTTATGCATTGTCAAATCAATTTTTCTCTTCTCGGTTACACATTCCATTTGCTTGATTCCCTAAAACTCTTCTTGCCTTCCTTTCTCTTCTCCATTTTTAAAAAAATTATCTTCCTATCGGTACCTTTTTCTTCTTGTTGTTGATCCTTAAACTTTCATCTGCTCCTTCATTTTCAATGGAATGAATCCATCTCTTTGTTTTCTTCAAATTATTTTCATATTTTCTTTTGTTGTTCAATATATCTCATCTTCCATTTTTCCTTCATGCAAATCCATTCTTTTAACACCTTCCGTGAGTGAGTTCATCTCTACTTTCTATTCCTCTCTTTTCCCTTTCATTCTTCCATCCCTTTATGACTGTGTAGAAGAAGACTGGCATGATGGATGCTGAAGATTTCCGCACCTGCCTTATCTCCATTGGTTACAATATGGTAATGTAGAAGCATCTGCCACTTATATTCACAATGGTATATTTGACCCTTAAATGGGAAAAGGGCATACTGCTAGTGAACCAAGGTAAAGCTTTGTCAGTCCCGTGACTTGTGAATAAAATCTATGGCATCAGTGGCATATTTATTTACAAACTGGATTGACTTCATACTTTATTTTTGGAAGAAGAATCAGAATATAATCCAAACTGATTCCTGGTTGACTTCTGAATAAGTAAAACAAAACAATGTCTAAACCTTGTTCTCCCATGGCCATTTTGCTTTGTTTTTGCATTATAATTATGCATTTGTTGCTAATTCATTGTGAGCAGCCCACACAACAACGCTTAACACTTGTCCTTCTGCTGTAAAAATAGTCCATTTTCCCACATTTAAACTACAAGATTTGGTTTATCAAAAAATGATTTTTTCTTCTTCATTATGTACATCCATTGGTATGGAAGAAATTCAGTGATCAGGGCTAGCATTTTGGCTTGCCAGACAGAAGGGTCCCCCCCCCACCCTCTTCTCCCTGCATGCAATTGCAGAGGTTCTCTCAACCCTGTCCCCAGAGCCAATTTGGGGCGGCAGGAGAAAAGGCAGGGAAAGCCCTATGACACATGTGAAAGTCCTTGCTCAGGGCTGCTCCTTGACAGGATTCATTAGTTGAATCCTGTTTTAAGGGGGTTTTTTATTCAAACATTTTCGAAGCTCCCCTTTGGCCAAAAATGGTATTTTGTGTCGGTCTCACAAATCCATAAAAACAACTGGATTTATTCTGATGGTGCTGCTCTGATGGTGTTTCCTGCTTGGCAGGGGGTTGGACTCGATGGCCCTTGTGGTCTATTCCAACTCTATGATTCTATGATTCTATTCGCAATAAAAAAAAACGGCAACACCAGCAATATATCAACCAGCAGATGAAAACCATTTAACTGTGCAGTGTGGGATGCAGCTGCACAAGAGTCTTGGGGACCTTTTCTGTTAAATACTCTGTGCATATTTTCTGTGACTTCATTGTCGATGAGCAACACAGCTCTCTCTAGGCATGTCTTTGCCATTTTGTGAACAGTTCATATTTTCACAGTGAAAGGCACACCATCTTTACTCAGAAGAAACTCCTTTATTCCAAGGAAAGTGTACACAGAACTGCAATCCCACAGGGCAACTGTATACAGTGGTGCCTCGCAAGACGAAATTAATTCGTTCCGCAAGTTTTTTCTTCTTGCGAGTTTTTCGTCTTGCGAAGCACGGTTTCCCATAGGAATGCATTGAAAATCAATCAATGCGTTCCTATGGAAACCGCCTTCAGAGCAGGTCCGGCGACAGGCTGTTCTGAAGGCTGGCGGTGGGAAGAAAAGCCCTTCTCCCCACCTCCCGCCCCGCAAGCTCCGGGGACAGGAGGGCTTTGCTGCCGACCGCCAGCATTTTAAAAGCCCCCGGCTGTCCTGGGGCGATCTTAAAATGCTGGCTTTTAAAATGCTGGCGGGCGGCAGCGAAGGATCCGCTGTCCCGGGGCAATCTTAAAATGCTGGCGGGCGGCAGCGAAGCCGGGGGCTTTTAAAATGCTGGCGGGCGGCAGCAAAGCCCTCCTGTCCCCGGAGCTTGCGCAGCGCGCTTCCCTGCTATCCCGGACCGCTTTTAAAATGCTGGCAGTGGGGAGCAAAGCCTTTCAGCCCCCGCCGGCCTTCCTGGACCTCTTCTGAAGGCCGGAGGGGGGCGAAAGGCTTTGCTCCCCACCGCCAGCATTTAAAAGAGGTCCCCAGAGATTTCCCTATGGGCTTTCTTCTTGCGAAGCAAGCCCATAGGGAAATTCGTCTTGCGGAACGACTCAAAAACGGAAAACTCTTTCGTCTTGCGAGTTTTTCGTTTTGCGAGGCGTTCATCTTGCGAGGCACCACTGTACTCACATTTTTCTGGAACTGGAGGTAGAAGTCGTTGGAAGAGAAATTAGTTATAGCCATCAATTGAAGGGTTATAGGATAGGGTGATGGTCTGTGCCTTCCCATACTGCCTATATTCCACCCATAAGTCCCAGTGGCCCCATGGCAGCTAAAATTAGTAGTACTAAGAATGCAATGCTATTTTCCAAAGAAGTGTATTCCAAAGTTATCCATTCTTTCAATCAACAGAGACAGAATGCCTCGTAATATAATCTCATATTTGGCAGTACTACTAATTTTAGCTGTCACGGGCCCACTGATTTTATCTTCATCAGACTCTGTGATCTCAGATCTTTGGTCTGGAGCTTGCCCCATTCATGCAAGCTGCAATTGAATTCCATGCTACCCCACGTTACACTGCCCATGTGCATAGCCCATTTGCATGGGCTAGAAAAAAGGAGGGGGGTTCAGCAATAACATGCAAATCAGCCCCTAGGCTTATTCTTGCCGCAAAATTTATAAAGAGGGAAAAGGAAGCTGCTAGTGAGCATGTTACAGTTCTCAAGCACCCAGTTTTAAGATGTGAAATATGGTGAATCTTAATCTCCAGTGAGATCAGCGAGATCAGCTTTTGTTAACCATGTTTCCTAACCATGAAACTGTCAAGGGTACGTTTATTGTGTTTCCCTTCCTATAAAGAGGGTGTTTCTACACAGCAGCTTCTTGTGGACTTGGTGACATGCAGTGCCTACACTCAACAGCAGGAGCATCACAATAATATAGCATTTGGGCAATGTTTGGTTGGAGCTTGAGGAATGTCTCTACCTGAAGCAGTTACGTCATTGGCTTCCATTGGTTGCTGTCTTATCAGACCTGTGATAAGGGGTAGCAGCCCCATTCTTTGGGTGTCAGTGCTGAGAATACTACTCGGTGCCAAACATTTATGAGCTTGTCTTCCTTATAACTTCAAATGCAGTCAAACTACTTCAGTTAATTCTTCATGTGCTACATCCTCGATGCCTCTGGAACAGCCTTCCCAAACTTAGTGCCCTCCAGATGGATTGGACTACAACTCCCATCAGGCCCAACCAGAGCAGCAATTGTTAAAGAAAATGGGGGTTGTAGTCCAAAACATCACTTGGACTGTGTGTGGCCAGTTTGCAAAAGGCTATGGTGTGTTTCCATAACAAATGCCTATTTCATCCTTTCCTGTCACCAGTCGATTGAGTTGTTGCTAACTCTTGTTTCATTGTCCAGGGTGAAGCAGAGTTTGCTCGAATTATGAGCATTGTAGATCCCAACCGCATCGGAGTAGTGACGTTCCAAGCCTTCATTGATTTCATGTCCCGGGAAACTGCAGATACCGACACAGCTGACCAAGTCATGGCTTCTTTCAAGATCCTGGCTGGAGATAAAGTGAGTTCAGACTTTTGTGCGCTACATGGTTTTAGGATCAGTGATGTCAGGGACTGGCTAGATGAGGAGTGGTGGAAACAGCCTGACCAAGATGCCCCCCAGGGAGAGTGCAGTGGAAGACAATTTAGAGCCAGTGTTGGTGTCTTGGTGTTGGATGACCAAACACACCCCAGAGGAGGAGAGCTGGGAGATACTGGAGTTGAAAAGTTGCCAGCTCCTTCTCCCACTCCCAAAACAAGGCACTTGCTTTATGTAATAGAGCAGAAAACTAGGCAGACACAGAGAAGGTCCCTTGGAACTCGCTGTAGGCAGAGGGAAGGATATGATACACAGAAAATAGACTAGCTGGGGAGGAGGAAGACACCCTAAGCAACAGCTTATGCTGAGGGAGCATATGTCATGAGTCTCCATGAGTCTGATTCTTAATAAAACTGCTAGCTGCAAGTTTCCTGTCTGGCCTTGTCTCTCTCTGATCTTCGCTGAACTGTGCTACATGTCAGCGCTTCCCCGTGACAGCTGAAATGTAAAAATATAACCTGGGTTTTTAAAATAAAGATTTTAGGAATGTGTTGTAATTTATTTCAGGTTGGCTGAAACATTAATATAACCTGTTTTTGCTTATGGTAATTTGGCCCAATTTGGCCTGCAAGGCCATTTCCCTCCAACCCACACAACCACTGGTCACGAGTGTCGTCAGCTGATGGGTCAGAAGACAGGGTTTAATCCTGCATTTGGCCGTACACCCTGTTCCCAGTAGGGAACAGGATCATACAGCCAAGGGAGCAGGCTTTAATCCCTACTCATTAGCTGATGGGTGGAGTTTAAAGCTCTTTCCAGAAGTGCTGTTTGAAGGAGGTCACACTTCTTCTTTTTTTACTCCAGTGGGGTTGTGGCAGCAGGATAAGGGAGAGGAGTCTCCCCCTCCACCCCACTGAGACGGCCTGCCCACTGCTTTTCCAAAGTGATTTAAGGCAGCCTCCAGTAATAAGCAGGACTCCATATGCACATTGGCTAATGGCAGGGTGATCCTGACTGGTCTGGGTGCATGTGAGAACTCTCTGCAGGGAACTCTCTTACACAGACCTGAACCTGGCAGACAGCAAGGTCCTGCTAACAGGAAGATTTTTTCCTTTGAAATGAAGCGGGGGGGGGGGACTCTCCGTTAGCTACACCTTGCTACCTGCTGCTTTCAGGACTTCTAAACACCAGATCCCCTGATGTAATTTGTGACATTAGTTGATGGATAAGGATCTGGCCTGTGGAGCCAAAAAGGTTCCTCATCCATGTCCTAATATTACAAATTATAAAAGATGCTGCACCCCAATTGGAAAGCAACAGAAACACAGAAAATGCATATCAAATAAAGCCACTAGTCGTACCTTGGATCCCGAATGCCCTGGAACTCGGACGTTTTGGCTCCCGAACACCACAAACCCGGAAGTGATTGTTCCAGTTTGCAAACGTTCTTTTGGAACCCGAATGTCCGATGGGGCTTCCGGGGCTTCTGAAGCTGCCTGCAGCCAATCAGAAGCCGCGATTTGGTTTTCGAATGTTTTGGAAGTCGAATGGACTTCCGAAACGGATTCTGTTCAACTTCCAAGATATGACTGTATTTAATATGGAAATAATTACAATTTACATTAATAAAATTGTGCCTGCCTCATCTAGTTAAAATAAAAAAGGACACCCCTCTGTTCTCTTACAGAATTATATCACTGTGGATGAATTGCGACGGGAACTGCCTCCTGATCAAGCTGAATATTGCATTGCTAGAATGGCACCTTATACCGGGCTGGATTCTGTACCTGGTGCCCTGGACTACATGTCTTTCTCTACAGCTCTCTATGGCGAAAGTGACCTTTAACTATTACCTATCTATTCACCACACATCCTTACCCTCTCCCATCCAGGAGCACTTTTCTTTCTGTTTGCAAAGCGGGCTCTGCTCTGCCTTTTCTCTCCCCTCCCCTCCCCTCCCCTCCGCCCTTCCTGTTTCCACTTCAGATCCCAGATCCCATTTGGGGTGGGGGCAGCAGAGGGGGAAATGTTGAAATGAAACAGTTTATCATGCCCCTAAAAGATGACGGTTTACAAAATTATTTTCTGCAGAAAAAGAAGTTACATATCAGCAAACGTATTTTATTACAGAAAAAAAGTATTTTTCTCCAAGATTGAAGCATAAATAGAAAATGTTAAAAGTATTACACAAAATGTATACGGTTTGTTTTTCTTCTTCTTGCCATTCAGACATAGGAAATGGAGTTCCGTGTTGCGTTCCATCCTAAGATTCCCAAGCCCAGCGCCACTTCCCCCCCACCTGTCTCTATTTCCTTATCACATTTATTTTAAGAGGCGGAGGCACACAAGTGCATGTATTGCTGGTTCACTTGTTTCATGAAAATATTTTACAATAAAACTTTTTGAAATTGCTGTGTTTTTTAGGGAAAAATAATGTACACAGCTCATGTTTTCATATTTAATTAAAATTGCAATATGCCTACTTTGTGTTGTTGCTGAAAGTTGTCTGGTTTCCAAACATGGCGCTTGAGAGTTGGCATCTTTGATATTGCTTGTCACAGACCATATTAAAAAGAAAACTTATTGTGATAACAAACCTAGACGTCATTCTTTTGTCTAGTTAACTTGTTTCTCTATAACCAGAAAGGCTTTCTAACACTATTCAGAATGCATTGGTAGCTTGGAGAGTTTTTTGTATATTATTCTGATGTTCATGTTTTTACCTGTTTTCTTAAATGCAAGACACCAAAGTGCTTTCCCCTCCTCCACTCTGCTTTGGAATTGTATTGATGTTTACGTGGCTGGTATTACTGCTTCAAATGGAGATAATCTTAAGATAACGAAAGATAAACTTGGACCAAACATGAAGTATGCAAATTGCTGGAACTTGCAGCTTTTTTCCAGCAAAGAAATAATTAGCAGTCAATTTTCCTGTTTTAAAGAAGGTTTTTAAGTGACTGACAACAGTCTTATACATGTCTTACTCAGAAGTCCATGGAGTTCAATGGGACTTCCAGCTAAGCGGGTATAGGACTGCAGTCTTACAGCATGTTCCTATGCAAGTTTACTCAACGTTAAGCCACACTGTACAGTCATACCTTGGGTTGCAAACGCTACGGGTTGTGCATTTTCGGGTTGTGGACTGCGCCAAACCCGGAAGTACCGGAATGGGTTACTTCCGGGTTTCGGTGCTTGTGCATGTGCAGAAGCACCGAATCGTGTCATCCGTGTGCGCAGATGCGGCGCTGCAAGTTGCGAACATGCCTCCCGCACGGATCACAACCCGAGGCATGACTGTATTCACAACCCGAGGTATGAATGTATTCAGTGTGTCTTGCTCTTAGGTAAGTGTGCATAGGATTGCAGCCTTAATTTTATAAATACATTCATCTTATTTGATGAGCCACTGCATTATTTCCAATCCTAGGCATTGGAAGATATGAAATCCACATCTTCCCCCACACCCAATGTACAATTGGCTTTAAAGCAATTGTTTTCGAAACCAATAAATTTTGTGTGTTTAGTTTGTCTTGGGATGTTCTTCCAGCTTTTGTGTATGTTTTTGTTCTCGTATCCACATCTCTGTAGGTGTATCAACATATTCTTAAACACAGGGGTGAGAGGGAAAGGGAAGCTTTGAAGGTGAATAGAAACCTGAAGATTTTACAAGAGGAAGTACCACAGGCGGCTACTGTGAAAAGCTGGCAGCACTGTGCTGAAGTGTCTGTTTAAAGACACACACTCTCTCTCTCATCTTTGTTAGGAACAAATGTTTTTCTCCATTGCCAGTTTTTCCCCAAAGGTATCTGAGCCTGTGTAAATGATCGGGATTCTTGCTGCAGTACTGTAATTTAATTGTTGTTCCAAGAACAAGATCCCTATTGAGCAATAATCTGCAAATTCACACGGGACACCTATATTTGTCTGTGGTTATCCAAGTAGCACCAAGGCTGGTTAATAAGAACTTTGCTTCAGAGTACCCTCACTTTTAAATTTTGCTGTGATGGTATCAGTTTATTATTTAACTGGAAGGTCATTACAATATTGTATACAAATACAGCAGCAGCAATAAAATTAAAATATTTTGCTTCTAGCAGGCCTTTTATGCATGTTTTAAAACATCTTTGAGAAATTAGCTTCTTGACAATTCACTACCTTTCTGCACATACCCACTTCAGCTGCTTTACTTTCATACTATATGTATCTCAGGTGAACAAAATGATTTCTACTCCGTTCTCTCATTGGCATTTGGTCTGCAGCCTATAAGGTCGAATATAAATTTCCCCTAAGGCACAACACACATCTTTAGTAGTACTGGAGAATCTCTTATTCTCTGTAATCCTGCACCTTGCTGAAATTCCCTTTTCCACCCAGGTATGTATATGTGTAAACAGTATATATCCACAGGTCTCAGGGCAGTTAAAGATGCAGAAACACTCCTCTTTTTCACCTGTCCATTATGAAATCTAAGCATCCAAAAGGCCCTTTGGAGGGAAATATATATTCAGTGTTGCAGCTCCAGTGGCACAATAAGGTAAAGGTACCCCTGCCCGTACGGGCCAGTCTTGCCAGACTCTGGGGTTGTGCGCCCATCTCACTCAAGAGGCCGGGGGCCAGCGCTGTCCGGAGACACTTCCGGGTCACGTGGCCAGCGTGACAAAGCTGCATCTGGCGAGCCAGCGCAGCACACGGAAACGCCGTTTACCTTCCCGCTAGTAAGCGGTCCCTATTTATCTACTTGCACCCGGGGGTGCTTTCGAACTGCTAGGTTGGCAGGCGCTGGGACCGAGCAACAGGAGCGCACCCCGCCGCGGGGATTCGAACCGCCGACCTTTCGATCGGCAAGCCCTAGGCGCTGAGGCTTTTACCCACAGCGCCACCCGCGTCCCCCAGTGGCACAATAGATGTGCGCAAAACAAAGCTTCCTCTTCCTCTCCTGCCCGCCACCCCGTGTACATCCTCAAAGTCCTCTCCAGAGAGTTGGGGGACCCTCTGGAGCAGATTGGGGATAGGGGAATGAGAGGGTACGGCAGTCCCTAAGGCTGAGCATCAGAAGAGGAGGAAACTGGGAGTATCATCTGATAAACCTCAGCTGCAGAGAAAGGCGGGTGGAACTGGTTTGAGGCCTATTAATGTGGGAGGGGCAGAAGCTGAGATGTTGCTGATAGGGCATTCTAGGAGCTATGGGACAGGATGGGGGGTAGCAGTAGCTTGTGGTCCTGCTGGGTGACCAGGTAGCTGAATAGTACAGACCTGTCTGCTAGAACTAACAGTGGAAGAGCCAGAAGGATGTTAGCTGAGCTGTTTCTACTGAGCATGGGGGTGGGCACTGTGGCACGCCATATGCTGCCATGCATTTTTACCCATCTTCTGAGAAGATGAGCACAGGGATGCTAACATCCCACTACTATTTTGAAAGGTGAGTTTGGTGAGACTCCATAGTTGTTGTTGTTATTAATTATCAGTCATAAAATTTATATGTCATCCTCCACCCAAAGATCACAGGGATGTTTACAGTATAAAAATACAAAATACATATCATAATAACAAAAAATACACACACACACACACACGTTCTCCAAGCAGACAAACTTGCAGGCCCAGAGCAGAGCCTAAGCTCTTCTCTACTCCCACCATCTTGCCCCTCAGGAGGCAGAGGACCCTGTTGCACCTTTGCTGACAGGCTAAACAGGAGGCTGAGGATACAATATTTCCCACCATGTACAGATAATCTTACTGGATTAGGCAGTATCAGTCAAAGGGGTCTCTTGGATGGAGGGCAGCAGTAGCCACTATTAAACAGTGTCCCCAAGTATGTTGGTGTTACCAGTTGGGCAGAATTTTGCTAACCTCGCGGGTGGCGCTGTGGCCTAAACCACTGAGCCTAGGGCTTGCCGATCAGAAGGTCGGTGGTTTGAATCCCCGCAACGGGGTGAGCTTCTGTTTGCTCGGTCCCAGCTCCTGCCAACCTAGCAGTTTGAAAGCACGTCAAAGTGCAAGTAGATAAATAGGTACCTTCTCTGGCCTGAAGGTAAACGGCATTTCCGTGCACTGCTGGTTTTGCTCTGGTTTCGCCAGAAGTGGCTTAGTCATGCTGGCCACATGACCTGGAAAAACTGCAGACAAACGTCGGTTCCCTCGGCCAGTAAAGCAAAGATGAGCACCACAACCCCAGAGTCTTTCGCAACTGGACTTAACCTTTTTATAAAACAATCAGTAAAGTTGGGGTGAAAATTTGGTAAATGGGAGGGGGACACACACACACTGTCAGTTCCAGGTGCCTGGCTCTGCTTATGAAAACCAGCAATTTCTTTCCTCATTCCACTATCCTGATGCACCAGATTCTATCTTTACAACCCGTGATTTACCAGGCACCAATCATAGACCGGTATTTTGTAATTTAAAATCTGGCAATGCTATAATGCCAGCATTTACATTTCCCAGTATAGATAGATGACTGCCAGTTACCCCAATGGGGCATAAATAAAGTGCTTGTCCGTCCTTCTGTCTGTCTGTATCTCTGAGGCCAGAGAAACCGCACACATCCTCTCTTAAGATCCCAGCACATTGGTGCGCTCTGCTCACATGCAGCCTGTCATTTGGTGGTAAAGAAGCAAGCTTCCAAGTATGCCCTCAATATTATGACTAGGTGAAAATGTGTAACAGATTTCTGTGGTATTTGTCATGTAGACCTAGAAATGTTTGGAGTTGCCTTATCAAGTCAGACCACTGGTCCACCCAGTTCCGCACCGGCTACTCTATCAGGGCAACAGCTCCCCAGGGTTTCAGACAGGCACCTTCCCAGACCTGCCTGGAGATTGGGAACTTCTGCATAGCAAGCAGCACTGTGGTCATTCCCCAATGCCTATAAAAACAAGGCCACCTTTGTCAGTCACAGAGTACTTGGCTGCACATGTTGGTGAAAAGAAAAGGAGCCATTTGTGTGTAGGGAATCAACAAGAGATTCTTATCACAGCCAATTCATATAAAAGAAGCCACTTAATTGTGGTTGTACTATCACATGCTGCATTAGTACAGTCTGTGACTGGCAGGACCTATGTGGGCCAAGTGAATCTTACACCACACACCAGTTATTACATTTATTGTCCATTTGGCACAGTAGTGATATGAAAAGTCTCTGCCCATCCTCAGCCTACGCAATGGTTTGCAATGGGTTGGGGAAAAACAATATGGTGGCATCCTTTTATGGAGCAACCTGCTATGTATGTGGCAACCAGTTATGTTTTGGAAAGCCAAGGTTTAGGTTTATTAAATTTGTATATTGCTCCCCACTAAAAAAAATCCCGAAGTGATTTACAGTAAAGAAAATGCAATGAAGAAATTTTAAAAATGGTATTTAAAAACTGATGTAACAATATCATACAATATCACTGACGTTGCCGAAATGCCTGGGAAAACAAAATTGTCTTTGCCTCGGGCCAAAACTGGGGAAACCATTCCTCAGAGGCCACGTACCTCAGAAAGATCTGAAGTAGTCTTGTTAAAACAAAGCAAAAAAATATTCTGACCTATTTTGATAAGGAAATGCTGTGTTGCATATTTAGCTTTTAGTGATGTGGAAATGTTGAAAAGCTT